GGTCACAGTGCAAGTACAAATAGTCACAATGCAAGTACAAGTATATTCACAATGCAAGTGCAAATAGTCAAAACGCCGTGTTGAAAGCGAATCCCTTCCTTCCTACTACCACATTTTGGGCAATTTCAATATAAGCATGCGTTTGCCTCCAATTAAATGCGTTTTTCAATAAGATTACAAGTTCCAACCAAATTAACCAGTTTCAATGCAGGTATAGCATTCCAAATTATTCCAAATAATGATTAATACGGTTAAATACTATTAATTGCCAGCGAGTTCTCTTTAAGGGTATTCAATTGCGTGAAAAAAGTTCAAATGGCTAATTCTTCGAAACTTAAAATTTGCTGCAACAGTCTAAACCGAGTCGATGATTGACATTCTCACTGGATAGAACTACACTCGCGGAACTTGTATGAGACGAAAAAAGTTGGTCGGGCTAAAATCCAAAAGGCGTAATTTTTTGTTCAACTTTTGACCTCAATAATGCACTATTCGTTAATAAAATTTGTTCCGAACTCCTGGAAAATAATCGAACGATCAATTATAGTCGGTAAAAGGTTACGAATTGACATATAAATTAACCACTCATATATACAAGCATATTATACAAGCCAATAGCATATTGTACTTGCGTTGTGACTATTTTCACTTGCGTTTTGACTATTTTTACTTGCATTGTGACTATCTTTACTTGCGTTGTGACTATTTTTACTTGCGTTGTGACTATCTTTACTTGCGTTGTGACTATTTTTACTTGCGTTTTGACTATTTGTTTGCGTTGTGTGTATAATTGTTCGCCTGCATTTAATAATGAATGCGTTGATTTATTGGTACTTATGCTATATATGGCTCTTTTGGGCCACCTTATGAAGATCATGTGATGGAAATAACCAAGAATTGTATTACGAGAAAATGTCTCTCAGGTTTAAATTTCCTTCTGAATGAAGGTCATGTGACGGAAATAACCAGGAATTGTATTACGAGGAAATGTCTATCACACTCTTCCGGGCGTACATAAACACACATAAATAAAACTCTCACGTTCAGACCTTATAATACTCGAAGAAGGATGTAATCGTCGAACAATGCAAGCCTTTGAACCCTGACGACAGGAGAGACAAGCTTTTTTGGTAAGAATGTATATTTTGATTGTTGAAGTGTACTGGAATAATGAAATAACGGGTCGAAAAAAGCGTCGACCCAAATTAATCACTTTATTTATACATACAAGCACAGGATTTTAGTGAATCTTATTTCCACAAATAATATTTTCGGCAAAAACAATTTGATCGAAATATGATATAAGAAATAATGCATATAACGACTTCCGCTTCCCCAACTTCTACCACGCAAGGTGAACCCCTTTTCCGAAAAACTAGATCTGGCTGACAGGTTCATTTTCCCGTGCGTTATGTCTCCATCGTTTATTGTTAATATTCATTAACTTCTGCACTAGCAGGGGGCTACTGTATAGCGCCTAGTCACGCTAATGTTTTGCGCACATTATGCATGTGGTCTCCGATAGGAGCGCAAGGAAATGCCTCAGTGACGAACACGATTTAGAGAAATTATTCTGTTATATAGGAAATAGACTCGCCTAGTGCGTAGCACTCTTTAAATTATTTTACGCTAATCTTAATAATTGTTTTTAGCTAGGGTATAAAACGGCTTGTAAATTTGAGTAATAAATCAGTCTCGCTAAACACGCACAAGAGCGCATCTCTGTAGAACGGGATCGAAGAATTTCTCGCTAAAATAATAGCAAAAGATATTAGCGTCCTGAGTATTTCACAAAGCAACCGCTTAACTCAACTCTATATACTCGCGCTAGATGTAAATTTATGCTTGTCAGATAATTTGATAATAAATAGTTGAACTGTTTGATTTTCCTTCCTTTTTGATTGTCTTTTCAATCTCAATTTCTTATATAAATATAGTCCTTGCCTTGGATCATCATTGCAGAAATCAGTGAACTCAGATTGTATATTAAAAGTGTCACAAACTTTATGTTCGTGTTTTGTTTACAAATAAACGCACTTGCTGACCATACAATGAACTCAATATTGAAATTTCTTGTTCATTGTATGGTCAGCGCGTGCGTTTATTTTTGAACAAAACACTCACAACAGTCTCTAACCTTTAAATAAAAGTATTCCAGACTTTCTGGAATTAAATATTCATTACTCAAGTTTTTCTCATTCACTGAGCTCAAATTTCTAATTTTAGTGAAGAAAGCAAACAATTCAATATGGATGAACCTGGGCCAAGTCATGCAGGTTATAGCAATGGTATAGAACTATGCTGGATCGGAATATTAACTAGGATTGGAAATGTTAAGCTCAGTAAAAAGTTATATATATATAAAAGAGAATTATGCCAGATTTCGTGGTACCCGAATTGAGAAGTCAAAAATTTTGGTATTAATTAAGAATCCTAAAATTAATAAAATTGACTATTTTGTTCATGTAATCTAATTTGTGATTTAGCAGGAGTGTTGCATTCGGAATATGCCGACAAATATTTCTTACACTTCACTACACAAGGTAAAATATTTTTTAAATTAACAGTCATTTTTTCCCTAAAATGTTATACACTCAGAGTTAAGTTTTAACAACTGATTATATAAATAGGCTTTCATTATATGCTTGATGTAATGGCAAATAAAAGAAGCAGGAATCATCTTCCAGAGGTATCGATATTATATTAATGGCTGTATAATTGTAAACAGAAGCCTTGTAAATTTCTTAATTTCTGCAAAAACGCAATGGCTTTAAGCCCGTACAGACGGGCAGGTTTTTGAAGTTTTATCATTTCTGTTTGTTTTGAGGTTCGGTCTTATACTCATTTCATCATGGCTCATATATTATCGTAAAACTCGTGAAGAAAAATTTGTCAATTTTTTCGCGTACACATGCATGAGCAAATAAAACTTGTCAAGGAAAACTTGTTCGTCATACACACGAGCAAGTGAACTGGTCAAGAAAACTTGTCAAGGAAAACTATGTTTTCAATATCTTCACTATCAGGACAGTGTTATGTAGTGCTGATCAATTTCGTTATCGTATCGTACCAAACAGGAATATATAAATGGACCTCGCTATATGTATACACACACACTGGAGTACGCTAAAACGTGATAAGCATAAAGAGCCACCATTAATTACACTTTTAAAGTATGAAACGTGTCAAAATGACATGTTGAGATGTGTAATAATTCGAATTTTTTTTATATAATAACGTTAAAAAGTCAAGCAATTTCATTGGTCGAGAGACATTATCTATAAGAGGACAGACGCACGGAATGACGTCACTGATAATCCTAACGATAAATTCGTTATGTCAGTCATCAGTCATCTTTTGTTTTATTTTGCCAGCCAATCATATTTTAGCACGTATTAAGACAATAGCAATTCTAGCTAGCCAATAGCATATGTACGCGTGATATCTGCAAAATTTTTACTATGACAATTTTCAAAGTGTTGGGAAGCTATTTCCCTGTTGAATTTCGGATCTTTTCCGCATAACAATGAACCGTTGTCTGTTCAGCTGTAGACACACGGTGTGACGTAATTTGTGATAAGAACAAAAGTGACCACTCGCCCCGCTTGGCTTGTACGTGGCCACTTCGTTTTGTTCTTATCACAAATTACGTCATATCGTGTGTCTGAACAGACAACGGTTGAATGTTATCCATTTGTTAGCTCTTCATCTTAAGTTTTATTTTCCAGTTTAATTCTAAGCAGCTCTTGGAGATATCAAAACAAGCATTGAAGAACGGAGAGATAAATATCGCAGAGAAATATGCTGGAAAAGCAATACGAAAAGAGAAATATGAAGACGCATTAAAGGAGAGAAACCCAGAACCTTACTATCACTTGGCTGAAGTCCTTCGAGAGAAAGCGTCAAACGAAACCGTGAAGTTACTTCAAAGACAAAAATATTTACTGCAGGCTGCGTCGCTGTACAATTTCGTAAGGAATTGTTTTAATAAAAGTACTGTTGAAAGTGAATTTGCGACGACTCATGAAAATATTTTACCTGGGAAAATCTCAAATGTTCAAGAAAGTCTAATCGCAGCGACTGGTGGAAACAACCTGCGCTGTAGATTCAATCTTGAATGTAAAAAAGCCGCCTTAAAACAGTTACGAGAGGAGTCCAAGAGAGAACTGGAAGTCATAAACGGCAAATACGATGCTGAAACAGGAAATGAGGAAGATCTTCGAAAAGTATTTATCAAACAAGCCTCGGATGTAAGAGTTTTATACAAAAAAATCGCGTCAGAAATGAAACAGTTTTTTGCAGATATCATTCAAGAGTGTTTAGAAGTCTTGGGTGAACCGCCATGCGAATACGAAGTCATTCTACTTGGATCATTAGCGAGAGAAGAGATGACACCATATTCTGATCTAGAGTGGGCCATACTAACCAGATCTGATGACGAACAGTCTAAAATATTCCTCCGCAATTTAACCAATCTTGTTCATTTCCAGGTAAAATTTCAGAATCGACACTAATAAAATAATAATCATGACCAGGGCCGTAGCTAGAAGCTTAATTGGGGTGGTGCATATTCATATATACGTCATATGCCCGAATGATTTCTTTTGTATGCTATTGTTCCTATGGTATATAAACATGAAAATATGAATATACACCCCCCCAATTAAGCGGTCTAGCTACGGCCCTGATCATGACCAGAAAGTACTAGGAAAAAATGGCTGTCGCATGTATACTTCTTTGCATTTTATCCCTACATAATGGCTGATATAAACATTATAAAGTGTGAACGGGCCCATATAAAGTGGAGAACTGTATTATAATATGAGTTATGACCACAAATTGATAATAATAACAGCAGTTTTTCTCTGATCTTCAATCACTTCCAGATAATCAACCTTGGAGAAACCATCCTACCTTGCATGGATATTGAAGTATTGAAAGGAGATTGGTTTTATGATGATGTAACTCCAAAAGGACTTTCCTTCGATGGACTTCTCGATCAGGCAAGCAAGACTCCTTTGGGCAACACAAAAGATTTTGAGCTCATTCACAGCCCCACTGAAATGGTAAATTTTCAGAGCAACTTTTGGTACAAGAAGGATCCTCGCCTCGGTAAGGTTCTTTTCAATGCTATAAAAAATGAGTGTCCGTATACCAATGTGGAGTTGTATTGTTTTATAATGTATACTAATATGTTACATTGAAAGTCTCCAGTCTCCACCCTAAACAACCTAGTCTTTTCGCTGCTGCGATTTTGAAACCAGAAGGGGAGAATCTCCAAACTTTTAGAAGAGAAGAATTAGAGGTAGTCATGCTAAGGCAGTATTGAAGCAATGATTTATTCAAAGTTATTATCAAAATTGCTATTCATGATCTATTGTGAAACAAAATATTACATATCATTATTAGGTGAAATCCTTTTAACTATTGTGCCACTGGACGAAAAAAGACACGCTTTACTGGATGAATACAACAAACAGCTTGAGAAGACCTTGCGTGAACCATGTGACTTGGATAGCTGTGCTCACGACTTCTTAAGAATCAGACCGACGAGAGGATCGTGCCGAGGACTGTGTACGCTCAAAAAAGACATGTCAAAATATGAACCACGTACCTTGGGCCTAACGTTAGAACCAAAGATTCTGACAATGTTGTCAACTTACGATGGGAAATTGTTTGATGTCAAGAAAGAAATCTATCGTTCAACTGATCGTGTGGTGGTAGCTCTTTCGAATGTGTTTGAAGTCGGAGGAAAAGGATCTTTTGAAGCTCTTGACAAGTTGTGTGAGAGAAATGTGATCACTCCCAGTGCCAGAGATAACGTAGCCAGTGCTGTAGCAATTGCCTTGAAGATGAGGTTGAGCACTTATCTTTCTGCTGGGAAAAAAGAAGAGGCAATAAAAGGGACAACAGGGAACGCCACCTCTGCTTACAATATTCCAGGAGAAAAAGAACTCTTTCATTTTTTTTATGTGTCCACTCCACTGTACGAATCACTGCGAAGGTTGTGTGATGACGGTAAGAACTCCTCAGAAGATTTAGCACAAACAACGTTCTTCAGTTTCTCTGATGCCATAAAAGGCCACATTCATTGTCGTCTCCTAAATTACGACGCTGCGTCAGAATGCTACAAGCGTGCACTTGAGAATGAACCGGGAAATATTAGCATACAGATGCGATTGAAAGAAATTAAGGACATGCTCAGGCAGACCAAAGACGATGACTGTTCGAATTGGGATAACTTGACAAATCTGATATGGCATCATGGTTTCCTTGAACCACCTGATGATATTTATTTAGATAACCACGTGAATGAATTGAAGAATATGTGTATTGGCTCAACAAAGGACTATGAAATCATTGTGGTTTTGAACCTTCTCGCATGAGCACTTATTTCCCAAATGAAAATAGGTGAAGCTTACAAATGTCTAAAACGAGCATTCATAATGGAGCAAACTATTTTTGGCGATAATCCGAACATACATGCCGCCATAACTTCTGCATTGCTTGGGAAGGTGTGTTTTGATTTAGGAATGTCCGAGGAATGCATATTCTATCTCAAACGGTCACTTAAACTACTTCCATCCACAGAACTGAAATCCAAAATCACACTGATATGGGCTACCTACAGCCTATTGGCACTGTCCTATGGCGTCATGGGCAATTATGAACAAGCGATGTTGTATTCCGAGAAAGGTTTATTTTTGGGTAAAGATTCAGACGAGAGACCTGGATTCAGAGTAGAGTGTCATTTTTTATGTCTAATGGCAATAATTGGAATGGAATGTGTCAGAAACGCGAGCGAAATTCTAGCAAATGCCGAAGAAGTGGAAGCGAACAAAGCCACAACGACATATTTTCTTGCATCTACGTACAGTAATTTGGGTAAAACTTTCGAAGCAAAACTATTACTTTATCGAGGACTCGAAAAAACACGAGGAAAATACAAAATCTATTACCTGGAATGTCTCGGAAGGTTATGTCTGTTTCAATTAGGTCTCACGGAACAGGCAGAGCAACACTATAAGGCATTGTTAAATGAAAGACTCGCAACTTCAGAGAATAAAATCGACATCGTATCAACACTGCTACTTATCTCCTATATTGTGATTCGGAATAATAAGTCTTCTGAAGCAGCCAATTATATGGACGAGGCTGGAAAATATCTTTCTCATCTGAATGACAACGATGAGAAGTTGATATTCCTAAAGGAATTGGGAATGAGGTGGCTTAAGCTTGAAAACTATAACAAATCACAAATTTATCTGACTAAAGCACTCAAATTGTGCGAAAAACTTGCATTAACTTCGGAGTTTGACATACGACATAAAATTGATCTACACTTTCAACTGGGAGAACTGGTTGACAAAGCCAGCTCAAAGGCTGGGGAGAGTTCATTAACTGAAGAACAAGTGAAAAATGAACAGCGAAAGCACTTTGATCAAACCTATGATCTGTTGCAAAAATATTTAACGGCGAGCAGTTTAAGCTTCAATTGCGTTTATCTCTTAATTGCTCTGGCAGAGAAGTTCATCGCTATCAATTTGCTGAAAAGTGAGGACCTGTTATTGAAAGCTACGAAGATTAACGAAGAAATTTCGGAAAAATTTTCGGGGAAAAATTCAAGTTTGGTAAACATATACCTCAACGAACAAATGGCGTCGATTCTTTTCACTCGAGTTTTTGTTGAATTCGAAAAAAAATCAATCCACACAGCCCTCGAATTTCTTCATCGTTCACTAAATATGGAGCTTGAAATTCACGCTTCAGACCCGTTTCACTACCACATTGCAAGAATTTCCAAGACGCTAAGATTTTAATTTACACCAAGCACGACCCCCACAGGGAGAAGCTGGAAACTATGAAACAGCATGTTCTCGAGTGCTGGGAACAACATGAACAGAAGAAAGAAATGCCAAGCACGAGTCTGGAAAAAGCCAAATGCTTGATGCACATGGCACGCGTTTGTGTCTATTTACACGATTACGAAAAAGCCGAAGAATTAAATCAGATTGCCATTAACATTTTGGTCAATGCTAAAGGAAGAAATTATGATCCACTAAAAATATGCCATTTGACGCATTTGACATTGGATTACGCGAAGCAAAGGCAAACGCAAAACAAACCTGTTACTACAGATGACCTATTAGACTTCGCCGTAGCAGTTATTCCACTAATTTCGCGTGACGGAACAACACTTGACAAGTAAATAGTTTCCAATCATTGCAACGGCTTCGATAATTCTGAGTTTGAAATCGAGAATTGCGCCTTGTTATCAGATGTAAGAGAGTCTCAAGTACCGCAGGAAGATCAACAGGGCGCGAAATTTGAATGTCCAAGATTTTCACGCGAGGAGCCTGCCCAGAAGGAACATTTAGATACAAACGCGCGGCGAATGAAACCGTCTCTTGAATCAGAATATCACAACGTCTGCTTGTTGGCAAGATCTATTCTGCGTAACAGTAATCACAGTTACTTAGAAACGAAGGAGAACTCTTTTCTTTCATTGGTGGAATCGTTGTCAGGAACGCGCTCCTGTGTCAATTTCTTTATAAAAGAAGCAGAGAATGCTAAAATCAAGAAGGACATTCACCAGATGATTGTTTTCCTGGAACTAGCCTCCAGCCAGACGTCGGTTCCTGAAAGTAAGGCAAAATTTTATAAATTGGTTGGAGATTGTCAACTATACTTGCAAAGTTACAGAATGGCAGAGATCAGCTTTAGAAAAGCAGCAGACATTTCTCGATCAATAGATTCATCATCTGAAATCGACCATAAAGTCGTTTACATGGAGAGTTTGATTGGTCTGGCCAAGAGTCGAATGCTTTGTAATGATATGGAAAATGCATTATGCGCATGCGAGGAAGGTTTGAGGGTTGAAACTCAACTAGCGGCGTCTCCATTGTTGGTGAACAGAGTCAAGTTGCTTTTTTTGGCTGTACAATGGACGCTTCAGCTGGGTTCAATTTCCCTAGAAACCTTTAAACAACTCTTGGAGAGATGCGACCTAATTCATACGGAATCTGATATGATATCTAATTTTGAATATGATATATTATTGGTCCGTTGGGAAATGTCTGTTATTCGAACATCGATCATCTTCCGTTTAGAGGTAACAGAAGAAGAACGAATGCACGAACGACATAAGGTAAAACAACTATTTCAAAAAGTCACCGACTTGTGTACGGCAGAACACGTTAAAAAGCCATTGTTATATCGTCGTGTCTACTCCTTTTTGGGACAAACGTTGGTAATCGTAGGAGAAACCAAAGACGCGGCGATTGCATTAACAAAATCTTTAGCAACCTACTTTATTTCAGCTTCAAACGGTGATATTTTGCCATTAGACGAGATCAATCCATTGTTGGATGCAATTGCAGCAACCAATGCAGCTTCATCATCCGCACAACAATCACAGTCCCCGTTCCAACAAACCCTGGTGTTATGTTGGGATGAATACCTGAAGCTAAACGACAATCTATTTCCACTCCTAAATTTTTTCCGAAATCTGGGTAATCACTATGTTGACGGAGGAAGGACTGCGAACGCCACTCGTGCCTATGAAGCCGCATTAGCAGTCGTCGATCACCTGATCTCAGACGCTACAGACCAAGTGAACGCTCGGGGTGAAATGATGCTGCACCTAGCAAATGTGCACAGACTTCAAGCTTTAGAAAACACAGGAAAAGGCGAAGTGGAAGAAAGTCGCTTGGCAGAAAAATACTACAAGTTTGAAAATGGCAATGGGACAGACAAGAGCAGTATTCATAAAACCATTATGTATGCTAACTTTCTCTGTGACGAAGGACGCTTTGAAGAAGCCATTATCGTTCTAAATCAAGCAATTGAAGAAGACGACAAGCTATGGTCAACAACCGTCATTTGTTCATATTCACAACGTGTCCTTTATGGATCAGATGTTAAAAAGTACATTGAATCTGACGGTGAACTGCTCACAAAGATGGGAAACTTGGCGTACACATCACTAGTTCGCGCGTATGTACAACTTGGAAACGGAAGAGAGGCATGCAAAGCGCTAGACACACTGTTAACAAATGGCGAAGATTTGCCTCGCAGTGCAATCTACACAACATCCTGTCTTTCACATCTTATTGCCTTCTGCCAGAAATATTTACTGTCGCTTATTAAAGATCCATCGAAGTTGTCATTCCACGATTCAGAATTTCCACTGTCACCTGGAAATTTGGCGAAATTGTACTACGAGTTGGGTGAATACGAACTGACGCTTAATTTGTGTGAGGAGAGCTTTGCCGCATTACAACCAACTAACGAAACAGAATATTTGAACATGTTTTCGAGTTTGCGTCTTACAGCAGATGCATTGGTTATGATGGGGAGAGGTGCTGAATCTATTTCGTATTACCATGCGTTTCTTCTGATGCTAGATCGGTATGAAGGGATTCTTGATAAATCATTTGATGAACAACATGCTATTATTTCTCAGCTCTCATTTCCGGAATCAAGATACGTTTACCGGGCACTGGGGTCGGTGATGCTGGAACACCAAGATAAGATTGATGATGCAATAGCATGCCACGAACATTGCGTAGGCCTGGATCCTAGTAACGACACCGACTCAGTGGCACCTCTGGCGGATCTTTATCAAACCAAAGCTTTGACAAATGGTAAGGAAGATCAGACGATCTACCAGAAGTGGATGGACAAAGCTCAAGAGTGTTTCCAGAAACTGATCAGCAAAAACATAAAAATGACGTCATTCGTTCAGGCCACCTTTGCCTCATTTCTTCTCCGAAATAAACAATTTGCCGAAGCAATTTCTCACTTCGAGCAGGTGCTTGCTTGTGAAACAAACTCTGTGATCTGTTACAATCATGTTGACATACCTTTGTTTGGTTTTCACATAGCGAGAGAAATTAAAGCAAGAGGCCAACTTAGTTTACCATTGAAGGTCGATATTTATTATCTTATTACCCTGGCGTATTTTCAATGTGGTAAGATTGAGAAAGCACAAGAATCTGCGCGGCAAATGGAGGAATATGTCGAGAATTTATCGTCTACACCATATTACCTCATTAGTCGTTCCTTACTTGCGTATACATACAAAGAGACTGGAAACGAAAGAAAGGCAATGCATGGAAATATTAAAGACGGTGTTGGAGATTGAACCAGATAACGTGGCTGTGAAACTGGCGTTGAAAGAATGTACAACTATTGAAGAAACAACATCAAGTTGCAATTAAATGTAGCGGATGTAATACTTATGAACAAGGAACCAATCTAGATAATTGAACCTTAATTTACACAATAGACAAACTTTTGATTTTGACGACAAAAGGGAATTTCCAAAATGGGACAAAAAACGTCGTAAAATAGCCAAGTTTGACTGCGAAATATTGTAAAGTACGGAAAATATAATTATGTGAGGTTGGCAAATTTTTTTTTACTTTTGTATTACGTGCGGGAATTTGTAACTAAATTAGTTACAGATCTCCGCCCACACAGAAGTTTACGAAAGTTGCCTCCTTTGCTTGGCTGTAAAATTGCCTCCTTTGCTTGGCTGTATTTTTCGCACTACTTCACATTTTCCGGCCAATCTGAGCAATATTATAGTATGCTCTTTTTAGCTGTGGCGATTTATTTCCTTCTTGTAACTTAGATCATAACTGTTGGTCTATTATACAATATACAAGTGGTCTATTAGGGGGAAAATGTGAACAACGGTAGATTTCGAGTCCTTAAAATTTAAATTTCAACTACGTCGACGCTTCATCCAGTTTTCCATCCAGTCTTTAATTAATCAAATTACAAGGGAGAATGGCACAACATCAGGGCCGAAACTAGAACGATAATTGGGGGGGTGTTTATTCATATATTCAGTTCTGCCCGACGGATTTCCATTGTGAGCTTTTGCACTTACAAAAGAAATCCGCAGGGCAGAACTGAATATATGAATAAACACCCCCCCCCCAATTATCGTTCTAGTTTCGGCCCTGCACAACATTTTATTATTTTGAATTTTTAAATGCCCCGCAAAATTTCTTGACAAAAATAGATGAAAATTACTCACATTTTACACTGTTTACGGTTCTTTCAGCCAATAAATCGTTTTGAATTTGTTTAACTTTTTGTATGATCTGAAAATGAATATAATAAAGTGGAAATTGCACTTCGTGTCGTGCAATTTTGGTGTGAAATCAAACTTGTGATTACAAATCGCACTCCTGCTTCGCGGTCGCGTGATTTTTTTAATCACGCGTTTGATTTCACACCAAATTGCACTCCACTTAGGGCAATTACCATTATTTTCTGCAACGATAACTGCTAACACGTCAGATCACATTTGGATGACGGCACCATCACGTCAGCCGTGCTTCACCTTATCACAGAGTACTACACAGAGGTGGAACTCGCGGCAAATCTTGTCCCCCTGTTTTTAATGCGCATGCGCTAGGCTCTGGCAAGTGTTTTTGCACTTTTTAATAAGGAAAATTCGATTTTTTAGCAGAAAAAATGCAATTTTAAAGCCATGGGTCTTTTGCTCTTCGTTTTTTTGACAAATTTTATTTATCCATCCGACATTGCTTCTTTTGGATTAAAAATGACTGCGATAATACGAATTAAAACAGAAAAAAAACGGGAAATACAACTACGAGGAGTGCGATTTTCACACGAAGCTTCTAGAACTGCCAGGTAAAAATTGAAAGTTTGGTATTTCATGTAATAAATGTAGGTCTATATGACTATATTTCGCCAACGTACAGTCATATTTTTTTCTAGATGGCAAAACAATCTCTCAAAGTTAACTTTGAGCAGATGACATATCAAGACATTGAGTTCTACTGTTCAACAGTTCAAGATAGCAAGTTAGATGGCTATTAAAAAATGTTTTACAACGTATACGCAGTTTACTGATATTTGTGAACCCTATGTTGTCTCCTATGCGTATTATTATTTCACTTTGGACTCTTCGGACCCTCTTTGGGCCGGTACAAATGGAAATTCTAGAACTGAATTATCTAGCAGCAGCAGCAAGGTTAGACAATGGTTCTAGAATTATAGCTTGCATATCAGTATAAGAAATTTATGTTATTCATATATAGGTAAGCTTTTATATTACCCTTATGCATTAACTGCTCAAATTATTTAGGCTTGGTCTAAATTCATTCATGTAATTAATCTCAACAAAAAGCCTTGTTCTTGAATCTATCCATGCAATGCACATTCTGCAACATTAAAACTCCATGTAAAAGGGAAGGTTAGGACACATTCATCATCATATTATAGTTTCAGAGCACAAAATATTTATATTTTTCATTAAATATTCACATCCAGAAATTGGAAAATACCTTTCAATCTTCTCATAGAAACCACACAGAATTGCATAATTAATTTTAGATTAGATTGGAAATTGATTTGCATGTCCTTCATGAATATTACAATCATGTATGAACTGAAATTAATATCTGTTAGCATTTACCATTTGTGTGTAAAGTTGGATTTATATTCGTGTAAAAAGTATTGTATAATTATATAGGTAAAAGTTGCATTTGTTTATTGTAAATCCTTTGAATTCAAGTTCATGATTCGAATAAAAAACATGTAGTTTTTGCTAGTTTTATATGGCAAAATAAATTATTTTCAAAGAAATTTTTTCGTGTGTTTTGAATTGTAGAAATGACACATCAATCATGCTTGTTTTAAGATCAGCTCAGATGTTTTCTGGATGGAAAAATAACTGCCTAATTTATAATCGCCGACGATGTTGGCAATCAACTTGATATTTATAAAGAAAATCATTCGGGCTTGTATTTCTTACTTCTTTAACCTAACGCATATATTTTTTACAAAAAAACAACCATTTACCGTTTGTTTTTAAAATTTAGGCGCAAAAATGGAGATCGATAGAGCCAGCTTTAAAATATTAACATTTTTCGTCTTTCGAACACCTTTTTCCTTTACTTCAGAGTCAAAATACACTTGCCAGAGCAATTTGCGTGGCGCGTGGAATGGCGTGGGCAGGGGGACAGCAACATCAAAGGGTTCCGCCGCGAGTTCCATAACTGTATATCATTAAACTGTGACCTTATTCTTCGGATTTCTTAAAAGCAAACGTTTTAAAACTTTTTGCAGCATAGACTGAATTACAAGTTAGAAAAACTATTGTATATATACAAATGTAGTACTACAAATAACACTACATATGATTTTTACTAGCATAAAATAATTAAAATTTATTAATTATAAAGTATCAGTTAAATAATATATCATTGTTTACGGAATTTAAATAATTCGATTCACGTATTCGCCGCAAATTATATTCGCTATTAGTAGTTATTACTATTATTATTAATTTAAAAGTTCCTTCAGGGAACCGGCTAGTTTTTTGTCTGACAAATTTCGTACAGATATTTTCTCATCTTTTGTCAATATGTGCAGACCAACTCTGCTCAATTAGCCCTAATATTAGTCGAGGTCGATTATTTTCAAAGCTCGCTTTTAGACTTAGATACACATCAATTGCAAGTATAGTTTACCAAGTAGTTTATAGCGCCCTCTTCTTAACCATACATCTATTGTTATCAGTATAAATACAATACGTTCATAGACGTAAATCTGATGTGTACGTTTAGACAAAGTTAAGGTGGCTCGCTACAATTTTTTAAAATATTGAAAACTTATGGTTTTATTTAAAATTTTAGCACGAGATTTCTTGCTAAGGAAAAGAAATTTCCCAGATATATTAACCAACATTCTAACAGTCAGAAATTGCCCATAAGCATGACGTCATTACCATTGTTATGGTAACAATGGCGCTTCAATATGGCCGACATTTTACCTACTCACGCATTTTACTCGAAAACAAGCTCGGTTACCCCAATTTTTTATTTTATAAAACGTTCTCTTACAAAAAAATGGAAAATTTGGACCAGTTAAAAAAAATTCTATAGAGCCAAAATTGTTAAAAATTAAAAAACGTGATTTTTCGTTATAGAAATTTTTTGGCTCTATAGAATTTTTTTAAACTTGCTCAAATTTCCCATTTTTTTGCAAGAAAACTTTTTATAAAATAAAAAATTGGGGTAACCGAACTTGTTTTCGAGTAAAATGCGTGAATAGGTAAAATATCGGCCATATTGAAGCGCCATTGTTACCATAGCAACGGCAATGACATCATGCTTATGTGCAATTTCTGACTTTTAGAATGTTGGTTAATATATCTGGAAAATTTCATTTCGTTTAGCAAGAAATTTCCTGCCAAAAATTTCAATCTAAATCATTAGTTTTCAATATTCTTAAAACTGTAGGGAGCCACCTTAAGAGGAATTGGGGAGAACAACGCCTCTACTATCATTCCTTAAATGTTTGGAATTATTTATCGTTAGAATTGCGAAACTTGAAAACATTAACTAATTATTTTATCAACTTAGCATCAAATGTGGTATAACAACTGCCTAAAATAGACAAAACACTTCTTGACGTTTCGACCTGAGGGCCTTCGTCATAAGAGTTAGAATACACGAAGGCCCTGAGCCCTCAGGTAGAAACGTCCAGAAGTTTTTTTTGTCTATTTTGGGCAGTTGTTATATCACATTTGATGCTAAGTTGTTTGAAGAAGCTGCCACGCTGCTCCCTGGCTATATTGGCACGTAATTTCAAAGCTTATTTAATTTATTGCATGTAATTGTTTACTTGTTTGTACAGTAGATTTTTTAGGGTTATTTTACCTTTATAAAAAACATATTATGATATCTATATATGTAGGGCCCCATTGAAAAACTCCTTGGAGATTTATAATTAAAAAAAACAAAAAAAAATACAATTAATAAGTCGGAGGAAAAGGATCTTTTGAAACTCTTGAGAAGTTGTGTGAGAGAAATGTGATCAGTCCAGGTGCCATGCAGAGATAACGTAGCCAGTGCTGTAGCAATTAGCTTGGAAATGAGGTTGAGTACTTATCTTTTTGCTGGATTTGAGAAGGAGGCAGTAAAAGGGATAATAGGGAACGTTACAAGCAGATCTAACCCCGCAATTTCTGCTCCTTTTTTTTCTGTTTCTAACAATCAAAGGGAGAATCTACTTCCAACGTGTTCTCTAGAAAATCTTCAAACTCTAGGTTTAATTTAGCCCCACTCTATACATTTACTATAAATATTTCCTACTATTTCCTTGTGCGATCTCAAGCGCGTGGAAGCCCGTGGCAAAAACTGCGAGATGTAGCACGAGCGGGCACAGCAAAGATCGTATGTGAGGGCAAAGACCATATGGGAGGGTAAAGACCGTATGGAATGGCAAGAACTGTGTAGGATGTCAAAGACCCTACGGGATGTAAAGACGGTATGGGAGGGTAAAGACCGTATGGCAGGGTAAAGACCGTATGGAATGGCAAGAACTATTTAGGATTTCAAAGACCGCATGGGAGGGTAAAGGCCGTAAGGAATAACAAGAACCGTATGAGATGGCAAAGACCGTTTACAAGGAGAAAAATTTCGTCGGCGACCTTCATCATAAAGTTTACTGGTTATGACCCTCCATCATAAAGTTTACTGGTTATGACCCACCATCATAAAGTTTACTGGTTATGAACCTCCATCATAGAGTTTACTGATTATGACCCTCCATCATAAAGTTTACTGGTTATGACCCTCCATCATAAAGTTTACTGGTTATGACCCTTCATCATAGAGTTTACTGGTTATGACCCTCCATCATAGAGTTTACTGGTTATGACCCTCCATCATAGAGTTTACTGGCTATGACCCTCCATCATAGAGTTTACTGGTTATGACCCTCCATCATAAAGTTTACTGGCTATGACCCTCCATCATAGAGTTTACTGGTTATGACCCTCCATCATAAAGTTTACTGGTTATGACCCTCCATTATAAAATTTACTGGTTATGACCCTCCATCATAAAGTTTACTGGTTATGACCCTCCATCATAAAGTTTACTGGTTATGACCCTCCATCATAAAGTTTACTGGCTATGACCCTCCATCATAGAGTTTACTGGTTATGACCCTCCATCATAAAGTTTACTGGTTATGACCCTCCATTATAAAGTTAACTGGTTATGACCCTCCATCATAAAGTTTACTGGTTATGACCCTCCATCATAAAGTTTACTGGTTATGACCCTCCATCATAAAGTTTACTGGTTATGACTCTCCATCATAAAGTTTACTGGTTATGACCCTCCATCATAAAGTTTACTGGTTATGACCCTTCATCATAGAGTTTACTGGTTATGACCCTCCATCATAGAGTTTACTGGCTATGACCCTCCATCATAGAGTTTACTGGCTATGACCCTTCATCATAGAGTTTACTGGTTATGACCGACCCTCCATCATAGAGTTTACTGGCTATGACACTCAAAACCCCGATGCTAACCACCAACTATGTCATGGCAAATTTTGGTCACGTGTAATGATCAATCATGTCACGAATCATAATCGAACACGACACGACCTCATTTTAGAGGTCACGTGTCATCGGCAAATATGTCAAAAGTTTCATGTTTTGAGGCTTTCTTTACCCAGTTCATACTGACTGGCCCTTGAGATGACGTCGCTGCTCGACCTCTCCCTATTGCATTGTATCTATCTTGAGTTTTCTTCCACGTAAACGATTTTGAAGTTTTATGAGACATGTCTATAGAACTTACTGCACCATAACCTAAACCACGTCCTGTTTCACGTTTAGTTGCCATCACCTTGAACGAAATTACAACATGGATTAATAATCTTGAAGTGGAATTCAACCGCGTGCGTAAACGATTTGTTTAAATTTTGAACTTCAATCTGGGGCCGGTTGTTCGAAAGACGTTTTAAAAATGGAAAACAAAATTATCTATCTATTGGACAAATGAGCTGAAATATTTCGATGTAAATAGTTTAATTGCCAATGGAAGTACATATTAAATGCATAAGATACAGGTTCAGTCATTCACAAAATCTACGAGATTATTTTTAAACTTTGGCTTATCCACTGTTTAAGCTGAACGCCTTTCGAACAACCAACCCCTGCACTTTTAAATATACAACGAACTGTTTGATTACAATGATTCTAAGGCGAATAATTTTAGGTTCTCTATGCTTTTCAATGAATAGAAAAAATGACTAGAACAAATACAAAAGGTTGAAAACGGACTGTTAACTGCAGAAATTAAAGGGTAACTGAATTTTACCTCGCTGTCAATGTGTAAAAACTTAACTTACTACAGTTGAATAATTTTGATTCAGGATTAAATTTAAAAAGCATATCGAATTTAGTTTGATTGCAAAGTTTAGTTTTCCCTAAATGAAAAAAAAAATAGTTTACTATCGGTATTCCGGCAGGAATCGAATCTACGCTTATGGCTCCAATTTTTCTCAACTGTTCCTGGCTTGAATTGAGTTGTGCATGTTTCCATTCGAAAGTTAAGACCCTTTAAAAACCTTTAGAATTTACCTACATCGAGTGAAGTGCCACAAAATCGTAATTGATTACCCTTTCCCTAAACGAGTTCGAAAATCTCAGTTCCCTTTTATATTTTTACATCAATGAACCATGGTGAAGGCAGACATCTCTACATGGTCGATATAGTAAATCATTATTATTGTTTCTAAAACATTAAGTAACTAACCGGTTCAGTAATTCCACTTTTAGCTTTCCCCAGTCCTTCTCCATCTGTCCAACCCATTTTTTCCAGCATCATCCGTCCTTTATTTTCAACTTGGATTGGTCTGTGATAAATCAATAATCATCAATAACAATGTCAGGTTCCCAGGAAAAAACTTAGCAAATAAATAACAACAGCTTTGAAGGTGCATATTGGGATAATAAACGTGCAAAGAGCCTGATAATTTAATGGACTGTCTCTTAAGGCCCATTTACACTACGCGATTTGTCGTATACGATTCGTACCCTAGAGTATGTGAACGTATGAACACAGGTACAAACATGACGATTTAAATTCCACCCTGCACAATCTGCATGAAGATTGTGGCATTGGCCCTCTTTTGCATCCGTCAGAATGATAATTGGCCTTTAGGCTTACAGAACAATGTAAAAATCAAGATGTTCATTTGTATATTCCAGATAAAATCAAACATACTACAACAAGAAGTTGTATTTGGAATGCTCAAAGGTGACTTTAAATTTACTCATCTTACGTTTTAATTGTGCTGTCTATTCTTAGTGCTAGTTTCAGTGACTTAGCATCAAATGTGGTATAACAACTGCATAAAATAGACAAAACACTTCTCGAAGTTTCGATCTGTTTCGAAGTGTTTTTGTCTATTTCAGGCAGTTGTTTGAAGACGCTGCCAGGTTGCTCCCTGATTATGCTAGTTTTAGTGATTTTAAGATATTAATTTCACATCAAGAAATTCACTTCTATTTATGTTACCTTCCAAACCATCACGACTAAAATATTTTCCTATATAAATTGTAGCTATTAGGTAAGAACAAATAGTATTCTTACTTGAATACCGAGGAGGGAGATTCCGTGGCCTGGTTCCCGGGAGTTTCACTGCCGACTTTCTTTCGCCTAAACGCATAACAAACACTGTCAGCACATCAACACAACTTGACATGTGAAAACAACATTGGTATTTTTGTACAATGACATACTATAATTGGGAGAACAATACTATTTTGGACAACCTGATTGACGTTTGTAGTCAATCTCGTACCCAGGGTCTTAGCTCGTGGTTGGACGTTTTCATAGTATGTCAAAACACTTTGATTGGAACTTGCATGGACTATTTAAACATGGCGGCTGCAACAAGCCGAGGTAGGTTCTCTTTTGGTTACATGCAGGGTCAATATTGCTGTATTTCTGTGCACTTTAACCTTATTTATAAATATTTATTTTAAAGGGGCCGGTAATTCGAAAGGCCTTCAGCTTTCAACGGCGGATAAGTTCAAAATGGAAAACAAAATTATCGATATTTATTGAAGAACTTTTCCATGTAATAGTTTTATTTTCACTGGAAGTACATAATTATTTAATGCATATGTAAGATCGATGTAGTTACGTTCAGTCATTTACAAGATGTTTGAGAGGCTTCTTTAGTTGGCTTATCCACCGTTTACGCTAAGCGCCTTTCGAACAACCAACCCGGCGGTCAGGTACTCATCATCCCTCCTGCGCTGAGGACGGTTCAATGTTCCGGAGATATAATAAAGACTATACTTTAATTATTGAATTAACTGTATTTGGAGTAAAAATCAACTCGCCTGGTTTGAGCTCTGTCTTTGTATTTCCCAGCATTGTTTGAGGCAATCTCAGAGTTTACTTCGTGCTCGCTATTCTAAAAAAAACGCGACAAGCATTCCGTAGATTATAGACTGATGGATGATAATACGAAAACTTAACACCAGATATTTCCTGTGTTTGGGCAATACATAAAAGGCAATTTTGTATGAAACGAAAGGAAAGCTGTCGTTTCTTCACCTCAAGCATGTATCGTTTCTTTAATCTCTTCAATTCTTTCTTTCTTGAAGCCTCTGATTTTCCATCACTTCTTGAGGTCACAACGCGCGTTATCTGAACTGCACAAACGTGATAAATACAGTACACTGAAAATAACTGTTTATTAATTGCAATTTCTTTCCAGTCAACGCACACATTAATTCCTATCAATTATTCCTATCAACATTACGGTATAATAACATAGAATCAGGGATGGTCCAGAACTATATAGCCCACAAAATAGCATTGGACAAGAAAACTGCTAAAAATAACCACTTTGTTTTGAAATGTAAATTAGTGTACTAGCGCTGGATCCACCCTTGTATAGAATAGCTTTGATATGTGTAGAACACTACGCCGCAAAATGATTATTGCAAACATAGTTCCTTTGTGATCTTGAGTACAAACTAGAACGGACATGTAATTGGCTATCAATTCAACTGAATCAACCCCTCTCACACATTGTGATTTGACATCACCGATAGTCCTAAAATCCCAAGAAGCACAGTACCAAAACAAAAAATTTCAGCATATGACTGGTTATGTGAATATTTGATTCCTGGTTTTCATGTTGCTGGACATTTCAGGCCATGTTCAAATCACGTTAATTAAAACACATTTCGCTGACACCATATTCCTCTTCAATGCTCTTATTTTACCGAGATATACATCCCTATATATATATATTCTATAGGTCTCACCTTCGTCCTCAGACTCTTTTGCCTTCAACTGTGCTTGTACTTGACCGGGTTCACATTCGTCACATGTTTCACTACCAGGATGAATATGTAATAAAAATGTTGTTGAACCAATCTTTAATTGTTCTCCATGACTTAATTTATGTCCTTCGCTTTCTTGTTTACTCTAAAAATACAATAAGTACCGATTACAGATAAATATTCAAACGAAACGTTTTTGAAACCTTTGAACAAGGGTCTTTATTGGGACGTGGTTTGCGTAGGTTTCTGATTGGTCAACTGGAGGCGCATTGGCTAATCAGAATGATAAATACGTCACAACGCAATTTTTTATCAACAAATCGTGTTCTTTACGCAGTAAAATTAAAACTTGACTTATGTGAGGAAATGCAAAGAAAAGAGTGTTTAATAAATTGCTGATCATTGTGGCATAATGTTAGAATCGCTGTCGAATCTCATTCAACTTGTGTAGTTGTTGATCGTGGGGATGTTAATGACATAATGTTTCCATCTCGTCTCTGTATGTATTTGAGCGAATCCATCGTATATCAGGTCTTTTAATATAGCTACTTAAAATATATCATTGAATATGAGCAGTTATGAAATTTGATTGGGTGAACTACTGACTTATATAGCTCATATTGGGTAAGTCAGTCAGTGATACTATAGATAGAATACCATGACGTAACCGCATTGACCCGGCTGCCTAGAGTGATGATACAGTGACAATTTGTGATGAAGTTTGCTTATTTTTATATAATATATTATTGGAAAAAATTATACCATTCGCTCTCGTCATATCTTCATCATCTCTCATACAACCCAAGTATACCTTTGTATATTTGTTAAATGTGAAATACAGGGAGGATAATAGAGACAATGGCCGTTGCAATAAATAATCAGGAACTAAAGTACCATACATACTTCACTGATTCTAGTTCCATTAATGAACGTTCCATTTTGACTTCCAAGATCTTTAACAAAATACTCGTTGCTTTCTTTGTCAAAATATACTTTAGCATGTTCCTATTAGTGAAAAAAAAAAACAATTCTTGCTGAAATTCCAAAATGATTATACTTGATTGTGCATGATTGATTGATAATATTATACAGATATTACGTGATCATAATAGTGCATAAGACTCAGGTGTATATGAAATTAATATTGTGATGATGCTACTCTGAATCACAAACCGGGCAAGCTGAAAAATTAGCTTGATCACGGTGGGAATCTAACCAGCGACCTTTGGTTTGCTAGTCCAATGACCTTTCAAGCATTGAGCTACAAAGTCAAGACGGTCCCAGTAATTGATATTTTGGAACCGAATCTAGTCCTTTCTATATCTGTGCTTCTGAAAGTGATATAGAAGGGACTAGATGCTTGGAAGAGCATTGCATAGACTGGCAAACCAAAGGTCGCTAGTTCGATTCCCCCCATGGTCAAGCTAATTTTTCAGCTTACCCAGTTGGGACTCAGAGTAGCATCATCACAATATCCATTATTTGATCAGTCATATAACGCCAGTCTTTTCTTCACATCAACGTGTAAAGTCGAATACCCCGGTTTTGTATTTACAATCGCGTTCCTATATGCATGGATGCCCCGGGTGGATAGCACAGGCTTGACAGCGATGCAAAATAAGGCTAATCTCTCTGTAAAGATTCTGTTTTGATATAATATATAATTTAAATCCCTTTTATTCCTCTTAAAGTATAAAAGGTTAAAGCATAATCGATGAACAGCGTATGCACAACGCGTTACTTATTTATTGCGTCAGCTCTCAATATAACCAGGGAGCAGCGTGGCAGCGTCTTCAAACAACTTCGCATCAAATGCCGTGGTATAACAACTGCTAAAAATAGACAAAAAAGTTCTCGACCTTTCGACCAAAGGACCTTCGTGAGGAGAGGTAGTATGAAAGTGTAATCTCTCCCAACGAGGGCCATTACGTGGAAACGTCGAAAAAATGTCTTGTCTAATTAGGCAGTTGATATGTTTGCGAAGTCGTTTTCTGACTTGGGCTGCACGCTGCATTACAAATACAACGTACCTTACTGACTTCAATATCAGACAGTTGTAAGACATTGCTTCCTCCATCCATACTAGAAAACATAAAACGATCATATCGCCTTGATTGCATCTTAAATGGTTTATAACCACTCACAGCTGACTCATATTCGGCATACCGTCCAAATGTGAGTCCCATACAGGTTATAATATTTAAATTTCCAACAGGTAATTTATCAGATTGCATCACAATGGCTCGAATACACGGAGGATATTTCTTTTCCTTGACCTCCTCCTCATCATCGTCCTCAGCATCATTATCATCATTATCGTCATCATTATTATCATCTATAATGTTATCATTATTATTATCATCATCATTATTATCATAATTATCGTCATCATTATTATCATCATTATTATTATCATCATTATTATTATCATCATTATTATCATCATTATTATCAGCATCATTATCATCATTATCGTCACCATTATTATCATCTATAACGTTATCATCAACTACAAAAACATTTTTAAAAGAAGAGTGAGAGAATATGTGTCAAATAGGTTTCAGGTTTGCGGTATCACACGGAGAAAATTTCGCATATTCGGATCCCATAATGTGGAATTTAATTCCATTCTACAAGTTGGTTCACATTAGAATGTAACTAAGGGCCCTGTGATGTAAAAATTGCGTGTCTTATTTTCTATTTTTTGTTATTTGTCTCGATTTTTGTTGACTTTCTTTGCATCGAGAATATTGAATTTGTATCAGGACTATATGACATCAGAATCTCATGTCTGCAAACAAAGTGGTTTTCTCCCTAAAAAAGCCAAGCAAAATGACTCCATTTTACCTTCTTCAACATCTTCCACCTCAACTATTTCGCCATCCTCACTCCCAGATTCAACTAAATCCATCCTATTTGTTTGATTTTTCTTAACCACAGTATCTTTCCCGGCCGAAGATCGTCTGTTTTTACTTATTTTCTTTGAGACTAGTTCAGCTGCAGTCTGATTTTTTGTGTCTTCCGTCGTATTCTGCTGGTCTTGCGTGCTTGCGTTACTTGCAGAAACTTGCGAGTAGAATTCATATGCACCTCTTTCTTGGTTGAAGGTATAGTAGATACCAGTACGATAATCGTAGTACAATCTCGTATTCTAGGAAAAACAGTGAAATGGCTTCTTATTATAAAACATACTATATATTGAGCTTGGGAAACTCTCGTGCAAACTCTCGCTTTTCAACAACTATCATCAATTCTCATTCTCGTTTGACCAGGGATTAAGATAAACACCTTAATTATAAGGTGAGTATGCACATTATCAGACTTGTCGAAAGGGACGTTATGATGATATTTAAACAAACAATTTTACGAGGTTATACGACCGCATGACGACAAGATCAAATGAATTTACGAAGAGCGAAAATTGGTTTGAAAAACGGTCAATTTTGACTTTTGCTCCATGTTGATGAGTAATACCGCTGGTTATTGTGTTGACAATTGGCCCTTCCTGTTCTAACCTGATCTAGCTGTTAGTCTCGTCAATATATTCTAAAATCAATTTTAGACTTACAGGGTTGTAATAATATCCAGTATTATAGTCATAATACAATCCTGTCTTCTCGTCAAATACAAATCCATGACTTGTAGTCGCCTGTTGTGCAGCTTCTCGTATTGACGTCGCGATGTCCTGCAACAAGTTTTCACATCATAAGTTAGTCTCTTTTTGCCGATTGAAACAATTTTTGATCGGCCATCACGATTGTTAAAGTTGCTTTTACAGACAAGCCAAGAAAATTTACCGTCGTTTAATATTTTTAACACAATGTTTTTTAGTGGTTTTCTTTTAACTCCTAACAAACCCAAATTCGTTGATTTAATATTACCTCATATAGTTTACAGGACTTTTGAGTTTGAAATCGAGTCACAGTGATTTCTGTGAGTAAGTCACTCTCTGCACGAGTTGGGCTTATTTCTTTCAGCAAATATGTGCAATATCATATCAGTTTTTTACTCCTGTGCAGCATAGGTGTCGAAATATGATCAAACATTTAAAACCGAACCCAAAGCTACTTAAAATGGTTGATAAAAGTGTGAAGCTCTTCAATAGGTCCCTAGTTTCAAATTTTCTAACGCTAACATGGGAAATATTAAGTTATTAAAAGTTGTAGTAAGATCACTTTACAATGTTGAAGTAGTATTGCATTAACGCGTTAAAATAGATCTTGTCGTGTTCAACATTACTATAATATTACTATAATATTTTATTTCGTGTTTGACCGTGAGGTGCTGTGAGTGGGAACTAGTTGCCCTTTTTCACCGGAAGTGACGTACATTGGAGAACACTTGAACGACGAAAAACTTGACAACGTCGTTTTAGCGAAAAACGAACCAAAATGTTTATATACAACAAGATTTCCCACTGTATTGCTGCAATATTTCTATATTTTAAAGCGTGTTTCTTGTTTACAAAATTAGCGTGTTCTAAGACACGCTAATTGAGACAACAAAAGATTTCTTTGTATACAACAAATTGTGCACTTCTAGAACTTTTGCTTTAGTTATGGTACGTAATTTAAATAGGGTCTAAATTTACAATCAACAAAGATCTTACTTTAGACGCTTGATTTATAGACGATGAAATCTCTTGTCTCACTGAGGAGGCAATCTCCTAGCAAAGAGAAAGATTTATTCTCTTGTATTTGAAAAACAAAGCACAGCGTAAAATAGTTTTTGATATATACGTACAATTCAGATCACGTTGAAACTATGACGTACTTCAAACTATTTTGATTATCACTGACTACATCTATCATGAAGCAAATTTTTATCCATCTTCAGCAAAACAGGAGCATGCTTAGCGCTAAATGAATTGGTAAAAAGTTGACGTCTTCCCTGGAAATTTTTTTGTTATGCGATAAACATCGCCAGAAGGCTGTACGTAGACCCTTACAACCCCTTACAACCCCTTACAACCCCTTACAACCCCTTACAACCCCTTACAACCCCTTACAACCCCTTACAACCCCTTACAACCAGGTGAACCCACGCTCATACAGATTTTAACCAATCAACGCTCAAAGTTTGTCGAAATTCAAATCCATTCTGCATGACTTATAATGGCCGAAACTAGTCGAGATTGTGTGATTATATTTAGTTATAAGAACTATAGTTCTGACATAAATTTGAAACCGAAATAAAGAATATTGCAAGAGATAAAGTTATGTCAAACGAAAAAGATTTCTATTTGACCACTAGCGAAGTCCTACGAGTTCTTTTCCGCCTGCTATTTCAGATCATGCACTTGAAATTCATGCGCACGCAGAGAGGCAAACAACGGTGAATATGAAAAAATATTCCCGGAATACCCCGGAATTTTCTTGCGATATACAAAAAAAGTACATCATAAGTTTTGTACGATGTACGACTTGCTAAGTAACAACCAAAATATAGGCCTATCCACATTAATTACGCTGATGAAAGAGCAAACTTAGTAAGACACTGCTATTGTTGGGCTTAAAACTGCAAAATGAAAAAGGTGGACTTCATGTGGACGTATTGAAAGACCATGCATTATCAGTTTGTTTCTTTTATTCTTACCTTCGCTGCTTCCCTTATTGAAGACGCAATATCCTGAAAAATAGACAACAAAAGTTATAACGTTAGGAGAAGATACAACACTCTCAAAGCGTTCACTTCGTTTATACTATAAACTGCAATCGTACTTGAATTAAAATAGGGCTGGCTATATATAATTCAATATATTATTATATCAGTTTCATTTTTTCCATATATCAAAAGTTCTATAGCATCACCAATTATCAATTCAAGTTGAGCCGTCAAATATTAGAAAAAGTCACTGGCAAAAACTTACCTTTCCAGTTTCGGGATTTCCATGTGCTGCTGCTGAATTCCCTCCTAAAATTAGCAGTAATATGGATTAGAAAAATGCTCTGATATAAACATAGTCTCACTTACCTGAGTCAAACATATAACGGCCTTTTTAACCATCGCAACGACAGTAACTCATACAACTGATATTTTTTTAGTGACTGTGCAATTTCCATAAGGCTGGTTTTCATTAACCTAATTCGTCATAATTCGTCGTAATTCACGCGTGTAGTCGTATAATTCGTTGTTTATCCGATATCTGACATATGAAAACAGAATTACAACAAATTACGATATTAACTTTGGAGCTTGTCTGTGGAAACACCACGTGAATTTAACATTCAATCCATAAATAAACCGTGCCATCATCAGTGCAAGCTATTTCAATAATTCAAATTCAAATACGTAGATATGCACTGATATAATGGTGCAGGCTTATGCGGACCAAAAGCTCTGCAAAACTAAATTCACGCGGTGTTTCCAGGAACAAACGCTCAAAATTACTATTAACGCCACGCAAACTCTCAAAGAACAAACTACGATATGTGAATTACGACGAATTAGGACGAAAATCAACCTTAAAGTGGTTGTGACAGCAAGTGAAAAAATTAAAGCTGATCATTTTATAAAACGAACCTTCTTTGTTATTTTCTTCTTTCTGTTTCAAAAGTGCTTCAAGATGTTCATTCTTTTTCTTTTCAGCAGCAAGTTTCTCATGAAGTTGACTAACTTGCTCACGAAATGACTCGACATATTTTGATGAGCTTTCTCTTTCAAACTCAGTTTTCTCAAGAAGTTTCTCCGTTCTTTCAAACTTCTTTTTCAAAGTCTCCAGTTCTTCTTTCAATGATGATACTTCTTTCTCCAAATCTGAATAACCTTCAGAAAAAATCGCAGTAACTAATTTATATCACAAGAAATCATGTTATTATACATTTTTTGTGTATTGTCGTTCCTGATTGGTCAGGAAGCAATGGCTAATTCTCAATATTCTGTATTTAATACATATATTCAGCTGCTGACGTGCTCAGCGTCCAATAATTATTTTTTTGGATCGAACTTGCATCCAAAAAACAATTATTAAACTCTCTCATGCCCAGACCTGGGCGCGCCAGCGACTTGAATCCAAAAGAGCGCGAAAATAAAATAAACATTAATAAAATAAAAGCATTAATGAACAGAATAATTCTTGGTCAGAATAATTCTTGATATCATGCTCACCCTCATGCAATAATTGTTTATTATATGCGTGCAAGCCCGTCATGATTATCTGCAAGAACGTACAAAATTTTGATAAATCATTCAATGTGACTCTAGTATGCAGTCATTTGGAAAGACCAATAGAATTAGAATTTATTTGCTTTCATCATACACGAGACAGCTTTATTTACACGGCTGTAACTGAACGCTAATGTAAAGATCTTGGAGGATCCATGTGTATATTTGGAGGGTGTGTATATTTGGAGGATGTGATCATAGATTTAGCTACAGTATGTTCATATGGCAGTCGGTGCGATCAGTGCGACATATGCAAGTCAGTCGAGTATAATATGAGTATGCACCAACCCTCCACACTCAATAAGGCTTCAAGGCCACATATGTAACAGCTCGATAAACTACCGTAGTGACATGCTGAAGTTTCGCAACTTTAAACAACTGTTTCTAGATCATCGTTATGTAGACGAGAAGACTGAAATACAACAACGCAGGTAGAAAGTGAATTAGAAAATAAGTGAAAAAGCAAAGTTTGGTTGAGAAATGTTGAACATTACTTGGAGAAAAAATTGAAAAATGCGAGCTTGTTAAATTTCAGAAAGGTGGAAAAATGCACTTTACCTCTTTGACTCCGCTAGGCAAACAAAAGCAATAAATATAGCGAATAATTTGTAAAGACTGCATGCTTTTATTGAAGTTTACCATGTTTTGATTACGATGTTTTGAAAGTCGAAAATTTACACTTTAATTTGCCTTTCTTGTTTTCATTTAATCATCTCGAATTTCAATTTTTATTCCTCGGAATTTGTTTCTCTTTATAGTTTAGATCAGGGTTTTGTTTTGACATTTTAAACTTGGTACGCGTGGAATCAGAAGCGTCAGGGCAACCCGTTTACCTATACAGTTCAATGGGGCAACCCCGTCCCCAGAATCGTCTTGGCAATTACAGGGGCGATATTTTGCACAATGCCCGTTCAGTTTTTAACAACAGACGAATGTACGCGGAATATTCATCTCAGAGGACACACGTGGGGTGTTTCAAATCATTCTCAATCATATATGAATTCCTTGGAAGTGACTGCAGCTATATTTGACAAGAGGTGTTCTTTATATTAGAGGGATGCTTTTTCCATATTAGATTGGGCTGCCAAACAAGGACAAATAAAAAAATTGTAGCCTCTGAATTATCTGTATCCAATGCTCTGGCATAATATCATTTCAAAATACCACAAACCTCATAACGTACGAATTGAAAAAATGTAAATTATGTCTTAGCTTTTCTGGGGAGCCAAATATTTGGATCCCCCATGATCAAACTGAAATTTTCTGACTGATTCTCTGATTCCTTGAGTGAGATTAGGAATATTTGAAAAGCACGGATAATGCAAATATTTAAATAAATTGGAATTGCATTTGTCTTGAATGTAAAACTTGTGTGAATTGAAGGGACTAATAAGGGTCATTGAACCAGCCATGTTGTTGCTGATGGCACTGCTTGATAAATTGAACTTATTGCATAATGTTTCATTTTCAGAAATAATATTTTGATATATTTGATTGAAGATCGATTCAGCCCCTCTTCTTGTTTTTGTTTTGTCTGCTGCAGCTAATAAATTTGTGCATTAGGTACTAGTGTAATATCAAAGTATGTGGATGTCATCTTGCAGAAATCACAAGTTGGTAGATATTAATGGATCTGTTACCAAATTAATAGAATGGTTTTGTGTTCCATTCTCATCTATGTTGAACTGAATTAACAAAGTTTAATTAATAACTAAAACACAGAGTTTGTGAAGGCTACATAAAATACGAGTTGGGTTGGCAAGGTATTATATAATTGCTTCCCTTTCTAAATTTTGAAGGGATTTGATAGGGCCATATTAACTTGCTTCAATAATTTAATCTGATATATGTCATTTGTTCACAATTAATGTTGTGAACACAGACATAATAACAAATGTATAGATTTCTCTGAAAAATATCAGGCAAAATTGTAATGTCTTGCAAGCTAGGACGTCAAATGGTTTATATATCAGCCAAAAAAACTTTTTCGTCTCCAGCTATTAGGATGGTAAGTGGGCCAAGACCTGAGCCAAAACCGAAAAATATAAAGTTCTATAACGCTTGTGAGATAGTAAGCAATGAACAGGGATAAGGATATATTCAGGAGCAGGATATAAAATATAATCCTAGGTGTTGTCCACCATAATTATATAGCTTTCGTAGTTACTTCACCAAAGATGGTCCCTTGGCCTTTTATCAAGACCTTTTTAATGCTCACTCAAACAACAGGATTTATTTATTTAGAGACGTTAAACACGAGTTGACAAACAACTGTATAGGCGTGCAGATTATAAAACGTGCAGATTGCTTGTGCAGTTTGCAAGTGTCGCAGGACGCAGGTGGGTGGGTTGCCAAGGTTGGGTATGTACACGGTTAATTAATGTTCAACAAAATTGATATAATAACCTTCATGCGCTTTCTTTGCAAGTGTATCATTTGACTTTCTCTCATTGTCTGCTGTTTCATTTTGCTCCATTTCTTTATCCTTTAATTCCCTACATATTGGACAGCAGAATGTACAGTAGAATGTATGACGGATGGTTCATTATGATTGTCCCGGATTGTTGCTGGTTGCGCCATATTGAATCCAACCCGTAGAGGCCTGGGCAGGATGAGAATACTTCCGTCTTTAGTAGTTGCAAAAAATAACTGTGATGCTGCTAAATATGAAAATTTTGCAACATTTTGCTACACCTGCTGGCTGCTACCTGCAAAATATCACCGCCTGCCATATTTGCCCGAAAAGGGACTGCGGAGGAGGTAGCTACACGTGTATCAGTAAATTCGATTGGCTTCAGTAATCAGTATGCTTCTCTCCTCTCTTTGATACACTTCTTCTACGTTATGTATTAGCAAATAATTTGGACCGTTTAATATAAATCTAGCTCATTTTAAGACATACTAGACGTTACTATCGCAAGTGAAGTGCTGCCGTATATTAGCAGGACTGGAGCAAGTGACGCATTACGCTGGACGCAATTTTCGCCAGAGAAGCGCTTTCACATCGCAAAGTTTGGTCTGAGAAATGTTACATTGCTTCAGTATTCACCACTGGCATATGTCTTTTCTTCGATCTCCCTTCTCCTCGTTGTCGTTCTTGATCGCCATGCCAACCCTTCTCTGTAGTCCTGGTCTTTGTTTTCTCAGCAGATTTAAAATTGGCATTTGAAATGCGTTTCTTGTCAGCTGAGTCACACCATCTGAAACAATGTTTTGTTAAGAATGGCTGTTTTTATTCTTCGTTTAGGGAATAGAATGTTTATTCATCTGCTCGAAATCTTGCTTTGAACAAACCGCTGAGAATAAAGTTACTCTTTTTTACCACCATTTTGAGCCTTCAAAAACGTTCGGAACCAGTGAAGTGTTCGGGACCGCTTTTCAACGCCATGTACAGGCAGAAAAAAAAACCTGCTCATTAGTAGATCCTCGCATAATATAATTCATGGAGGACGTGCTCGTTCTGTTTTGAAATTGTGGCGAATTTTGGGGGAGTTGTGAGCTTATGCAGTTATGCTTGGCTTACTTATAGGCAATAAAGATCCTTTAACCTTTACCATTTTCACGCACTTCCACCGCACCTCTACAGTCTAACCTACCCCCTACCCCCCCAGTGTACAGAATCTTATTTGAGAGGTTGGGGACAGAGTTGGTAGATAGCTGCATATGTGAGGCCAAACAACATCACACTAGTTCTTTGCCTTGGCGAGTTGGCGTTTTGTTTTCTTGACAGCACTAATGATAATTTGGCCATAAATGTTTGCATATCTACCAAATCTGGTAGGGGAACATAACGGTTTTTAGAGCCCTCTATACATACTTTCATGTAGATGAGACCATCAAGAAAGTGTATAATGATGGGCAAGCAGGGTCTGTTGTTAAAAGGAAATTATTTTATGCAGTCTTTTTTACTGCTAAGGTATGCAAACTGCATCCCGGTATGTTCTCAGATGGAAGTTTTAAAAAACCAGTAAACCAGATACAAGAAATTGTTTATTGGATAGTTTGTCATGTTAATATAGTTTATTGTTAATTTCCTAAAAATTCCTATAACTACATCCAGATTCTCATTTGTCCAAATACACAATTGGGAGAAATGACACAATTACATAATGATCCTCTTGGATGGACAAATCCCAACCACCCAGAATTAATTTAACACCCTTGAAAAGGAGATGCCAAAAGGTGGAAATGCAGAACTGTCTACTGAATGCCATTAATCCAAAAGTATTGTTGGGCATAAATATGCCTACTGTCAATTACATAGTTTTATGTAACACAATTTCTGGTTTTGTTAAGACTAATATGTTCATGATCTCAATATGTATTAATCTACTGGATTGGACATTTACAACCAGAACAAGTTTGGTGTGTTTAGTGGCTACACCAGTGGCAGATTCAGGGTAAGTCATAATAAATTACACAGCCTAATTTCAATTCAAGATACTTTGATAAAAAAAACACCATTGGTGATTTGCTTCCAAAAGATAATTTTACATAATGTACCATTGTGACTAAGTTGGAGCTGTTATAATTTATTCTGACCTACCCTGGATCCTATCCGTGGATCATTGGCCTATGCTATTTTAAATTTGCTGAAGAAAAGGCAATTATTTTACAGAAACAGACATACCCTTGTGTTATAATTCAGCGAATTTAGATATATAGAGAATAAAGTACTGTAGAGTTTGCATGTGACTTGACATGAACAGATAGTTGAGAAAATTTAATACTAATACTATATAGGTTATATTAATTAAATGTAAATAAATCATTTTAAAATCATGTCATTTTAAAATCCAATACTTTATATGGTATTCAAAATACATGCAGGCTACCGCACAGTCGATGCTAACAAATGTAAACTCAACAGTTTAATACTCAGAATTTATTATCTCAAAGGTGGTCCATTACCTATTTGCCTTGCTACTACATGTGTGTATATATCAATGTCGTTTATCCACAAATTACAGATCAAGTACGCCTTCATCTTTTGGCCCTTCTGCATCGAAATGAACTGGTCGTGAGTAAGCAGGCCGAGAATTTCTGTATCGTAGTACAGGAATAATACCAGTTATCATCCAAATTAAACCCGCTATAATGAAAGCGTAACCAACTACCGAGACTGAAGACGAGTGAATAATAAAGCGAAATATTGAAGCCCAAATAACACCAGCAAGTAAAATGAGGAAACCAAATACAATGAACTGATATCCACGACGGCGGAAAAACTCTCCAAATTCACGGCCCGTGTTGCAATCAACATCATCAATGAACAGACGGTGTTTGCCAACAACTCCAGTCAGGGACAGAGCATTGTAGACTAAATTGAATTCGTGCCCATGATCCTGCCACTGGTAACTACCGCCTTTACAACAAAGTGGACTACAGGGATTATCTGTTAAGTCGTTTTCCTTTTCTTCATTGTCAACAAATAGTTTGTATTTGTCCTCGCAACAGTTAACGTCGCGTTTCAGTTGAACCACATACTGTCTGCGACCTTCGTCTTCAGTTGCTATATTTGTCGCCCATGTACTTGTCGTTCGACAAAACGGCATCGCTTCGTTGAAATTTAGCCCCTTCTCTTCGCAATTAAACGTTTTCTAGCTTATCAATGAAAAGAAACAACAATTTAACGTTATTGAAACTTGAAAGGTAACAATAACAGACTTCTAAATTTATGTATGTTGTCTGCGTCCTTGCGCTCTACAGGGGGGTTACGGATTATAATTTGTCATTTTGATTGTCACTTTAACGTTTCTTGACTTGTTTACAATGATTCTTTCAAAAATCACAGTGCAAAATGTATAAAAGACATGTATCTGCTTTGTATCTGCTGGGGTGGCAGTTGGAAGCCGTCGCAATGTATTTCCGTCTTCAAATTGATGTGTTTTCCTCTACAAACTACACTTTGAAATGACTTGACTGCAGGACTAGAGTTTAGCAGAAGTAACAGAAAGTAAGTCATGCATTCCCACGAGTGCCGACATGGTTGGCGCCGACGCCGCCGAGTGAGAACATTTTTGATATTTGAAGCCTATATTCGTCGGAAACGGCCTTTCAGAGTCTTTATGTAAGCTGGTTAAGGAAACAATTAACTCTATTTTGGGGATACGGACACTGCTCTCTGCGACCCCGCCTAAACCTAAAGTGGTTTTAATTTGATACTAATACAAGGAATTTAGTTTCATTATGACAAATATGACACGTCGAAATGCATTCAGGTAGTATTACCTTTATTGTTGCCATATCAACCAAATTGTGCAAAAATTGCTGCCATATCAAACAAATTCTGCAAAAATTGTTGCACAAAGTGTGATGACAAATCGCTTTATAAAATCAAACATGAAAAATATGTCCTCATCCGTCATGATGAGGACTAAAAACAGTTAAAAAACTTCAATGGCGTAGTTTCGATTTGATTTAAGCTAAAAAACTTAGGAATTGTTGCGGTTTCTTCGCACTTATATAACTTTTTCAAAAGTTCGTTTAGGTTCACGCTTGTAACAGAAGTTTTTTTTTGTCAGGCGTTGCCAAACCGCCAGGGCCAGAGAACGTGAATATGTCCTCCAGTTATCCGCAAAACTACTTTTGAGATTTATCATAAATCCGTTGAAAATAGGGGAGGGTACGGTATGACGAAGCTGTACTGTACAGGAATTAATATGTGTATTTATGTTGATAGTCTTAAAAGACGCTATTGTGAAAATAATATTTCTTCCTCTCACCTTGAATTTACGGCTGGCGTCTGCAATTATTTCAGTTTGATGTCATTGAATGTAGTGTATTTTCACGTTTGACAGATTTTCTAGATGGCGCCACTTATATTTGATTCCTGGTTTTCTATATTCCTATCACCTAGTGGTGGTTTTGCACTTTAGGTCTTTATATTTACTACAACGTTGCTCCTTAAATCCTGCGTTCTATCATTCATGGACATCTAATTATGATAAAATTGAAGGATATTGTTATGTACACACATATGGAACTTTCACAAATGGCAGGAACAGGCGTACAAGGGAGGCTTTAATATTTATATTTAAGGGGGGGGGGGTAAGTGGAGCTATAAAGGATTGTAGTTTTTAAAAGACGATTTTGGATTCTTAAGTTCGTTAGAGCGCCGAAAAGGCAATTAAATTCGCAAGTTGCGGGTGAGAACTATTCTTAAAAATAAATTTGTATAAGAATATGTAAGGGGGGGGGTACACTGCAGTCCCTGAAATAGTATATGTGTGCTGTGTGCATGACTATTACGCGTTCCATTGCTGAACACAGACCTAGACCTCGTATAATACTCAACAGTCATGATATTTTTATTTCATTTCACAATTCACATAAAAAATTCAGCTATGTACGTTCATAACCAAATTCTCAAATTTCACGCGAATCAGCCTTGTGCATGCATAATTAACATTACACAACTTTTGATTACAAATGCAAATTACCGAAATTTCTATGGGAATTGTTAAGAAATGAACATTTGCGGCCAGAATTAGGAAAATTGCTTCACTGAATCGTTTACAGCAATTTAATACAACACCAGACATAAACCTCTTAACTCAAAAAAGCCAAATTAAAATTTGTCTCAAGGGCAAGTTATCATAAATATATCTTGTCAGATAAGAAATCCCTAGACATTATGGATTTAGAGATTTCGATCGATTTATTGAAATCTTAAATTTCAAATTCGTTTAGTTATATTAACACCCTCTGAGAAATTAATTTATCATACAGCTCCAAACTATAAACCGTCATAATGAATATACCTTTTTTACATTTCCTGCATATAGCTATAGTAAAAGCGAAAACCAACCAATGGTTAAAAAAAAAACGCCTTCAAATCTGGAAAAAATGCTTAATGCCTCAAAACTATAGCGTTAAAACTTTCCCTTTTTCCAACTTGAAAGATATAAACACGCATTTAAATAATTAATTGCCAAAGAATTACCTAAATTTAGAAAAGCGAACGTAATATTGCGTTAGCTAGCATTCAGTGAGAATTCGAAATTAACATTAGAACCGCGTTGTGTTACTTAAAGGCTTGATTTTGCAACACTTTTCAAAGTTATGATCCATTTTAAATTTTATCAAATTGTTTGCTGGAAAGGATTTTAGTGAGTAGCTTGCAGATAATCTCATTAATAATGAAATCAAATATAATTAATTAATACGTCTGTTCCTAATTATTGTGAAGATAAGTTGCAGGAAGACATCTCGAATCATCTATCGTAACAGAATATATAATAGAATAAGCTCTGGGTGGAAAAATAACAGGCTGAGAATTACCTCGCCTATGCCAGTTCAATGAGTCTATCCTTGCAATTTCAGGTGCAAATTGCTTCTTAGTTGTGGTCGAGTGAATATACCACCCGGACGTACAAAATAAGGCACTTATCCATTTGTAAATAATCACTTGTTTGTATAGAGGTCAGGGGAGAAACGCAGTCGTACAAAATGGTCAAAAACAAGGCTAGCTTTTACAACTTATCCGGGAAGCTTGTATGAAAGCCGGATAGCGCTATCCAGTATCCACAGGCACCGATGATTTTTGCAATCGCTCTTAATCGCTTTTGGCTAAAAGTTTATTAAATCCTAGTATTAAAAATCTCGTTGGTTAAAGTGAAATCTCCTAAGTGAAATCTTATCAATTTTCTAACATTTTTAGAAAGGTTGAAAAAGTCACTATCCGATGGATAACGCTATCCGGCCTTCGTACAAACCAACCGCCGGATGTTCACATTAATTATTCGACCACCGACCGAAGCCAGTCTCGCTGCTGGATTCCTTGTTTTAAAATGAGACGAACTTGTGAAAAACTGGTACTGAGGGAGAACGGAAAAACGATTTCTCCCCAGGATACTTTCAAGTTGCTATAATTGTTGCTAAAAGGTTTCTAACACAACACCTGTACAAATTATTCCATTAGGATGGACGTTGTAAATTATCATACTGCATGTAAATGGCAACTTTGTAGCAACTTTTTTAAATGCCAGCAAATTGCTAAACAAACCTGACGCAGGAAAGAACTAATATACACGCATTTTCCCCTTCCTCCGCGATCTTCGTTGACGTCATCTTTTTATCGTTTTTTTTTTGCTGCACGAAAATACGAAATATGATATATTTATATATCTTTTTAGTGAAATCAAACTGGCCTTCGTGTATAAAGGTTCTTCTACCGGTGGGCAAGATACATGTAACAAAATTCTTAGTATATTGCAACCCATTGAGGCATTGACATTGTTATTAAAAACTACCAGAGAAATGCGACAAGAAAAAGTTCATAATCTTCTGCATTTTTAAATCAGCACAATCAGAACAATTTTTTCTTTCACACCAAAACGAACCAATTCAATTATTATCTCAACGCACTCACGAAAAAAAACCATTCTAAAATCTATTCTTAACGATTTGTTGTGTGTTATTATCAATCACAAATGACGACGAATGACCCAAGCCACATTAAGCTGGCTAAATTCAAAAACCAGGACACCAGAACTTGGGGAGAAAGGTAGTCAGGTGCTGGTAGGAAAAAGATGTTCTTTCAATTTAACGGACTACACTTTAAAAAATACGCCTCAGAAAACACTAGAAATGCAGGCAACAAGCTTCAAAATAGCACAGCCGTCAGTGAAACTTCAGATACCGAAATTATCTAACAGATATTTCAAACGGTGGAAGAAGTTTAACTGGCGATGTTCTGGGAAGATTATGCCTTCCTTCCTGTTGACATGGAGCGAGTTATCCCGGCTAGGCGAGATAAATCGTCGCGAGGAAAATATGGACCTAAAAATACTTGACATAGAAAACCTGATCGACTGATCCTCTCTCGGAGGTATGTAAATTGTTTATGAATATAAAATAACGGTTTACTGCTCTCACGATGATGAACTTTGTGCAACAGACGAGAGTTGATCTCGTATCTTCCCCAAACCATCTAGCATTGTATCTAATGTCTTTTTACTTAGTTCTACATTTAAACTTTTCAATTCGGGTAACCTGTTCTCGTCACAAGGATTCTCCTGGATCTGCAAGAAATATACAAGAATATGATTCAACAAATAGCCAAGGCCAGTGAGACCAACCCAAGGACTGAGGAGAAATTTCGGCAATGAGTATGGCGCGTCTAGCATTTTTTTTCTGTCGCGTCTCGTACATATCGCGAGGGTCTTTTAACAGTTTCTCAAACCTTGTAAATACCACAGTTCAACACAGAGCGATCAAAAAAGGGGGACGGTATAACTTTTTAGCCAAAGTATCACTCGAGCATCTTCCGAGTAGCATACCTGGCCCTATAGCAGGGTTTTTGCCCCTATTCAAGTCCGTTTTACTATAAACGTGTCCCGCCCTACGGTGTCCTTGCATGACTTTTAATATTGTACTGACTTCATAGGAATGATAGGATTGATGAAAGGGACCTTAAAATGCACCAAATCTACGACGCGGACGTGAAGTACTACTTTTGTTACTTCCATAGTTTCACAACAGGAGTAAAAATTATAGACAAAGTCAGAGGCGTATTGAAAGCAGCGTGTAAAACAGATTAAAACTGGGTTCCTAATAGCTACTAGTGGCTGTTTTCATGTCACGTCCGCATCGTAGATTTGGTGCATCTTAAGGTTCCTAATATATGCAGATTAGGACAGGTTTTCTTTTCGATTAATTTGGAGTTAATTTTAGCCGTCGTCGTCGCGTCTCCGTCGTAAATCTTAAGCTCCTAATTCCAGAGTTGGTCTAATAATTGTGGCTATGATTAGAGTAATCGCCAGATATGATTATAATTCTTACCTTAAGTTGGATTAGACATGTTGGCATGGACATCCTTTGAATGGCGTCAGATGATGTCTTAACATCGACTCTCCAGTCAAAATCCACCAGTTTTGGCAAAGAAACTACAAAAAAGTCAAAAGTTGTTCACCGAAACCGTATGATACTTTTAGTTTTTTGCAATATGTACATTGTAACATTCTATCTTCAGAACTTCTCAATTTACGGAGTTATACCAAGAAATATACGGTTGACTATTTACCTTGGTTAGCCATGGATAGTGACCTCCATTCTGGCCTAGAGAAAGAAATACGTAGTTAAATTAGTTATAGTTCGCAAAACTACAAAATTCATTGGATTGATACTGTGTCTGTTTGTGACTAATTCCTTATCCTCAGTCTTTGCTAATTATATTACATTATGTAGAATTGAAACAGCAATGAAAATATCGACACAACCAAATTAATGTGATGATGCTACTCTCAGTTGCTAGGCGGGCGAGCTAAAAAGTTAACTTGATGACGGTGGGAATCGAACCCGCGACCTTTGATGCAACTGAGCTACGGTGGTCAAGCTCATTTTCAGCTAGCCCTGTTGGTAACTCATGTAGCACCATAACAATATCAATACACCTGAGTCATATGCACTACCACTATGTACTATAAAAGAAGTTTGGAAGGCGCAGTGTTCCTGTAGATTTGACATCAAAACCTTGGCAAATCAGTACTAGCTACGTTCTCAGTTGAACAACATAGCTAATATCTCTTGAAATAAACTTTAGTTACGTTTTAAATACTAAAAAAATACGACAACAAACTTACATGTTTTCTGCAATAATCTTCGCAAGCAAATCTTTCAAGTTTTTATGAAAATCCCCTGAAAAAAACAGATACAGAATGATGGTTAGAATCAGTTTCATGACACGTTTGGGAGAACATACATGTTATGTTTAACTGCAGCAAGCATATAATCCGAAAATTAACATCTTGAAACTAAAATATAGGTCAAAACTTTCTTGTCTGAGAAAAGTTTAGTGATAGCTATTTCAATTTAATCATCCTAATGCTGATTTTGAAATTTATAACCCCCCAACGTCGGGGATTTTCTTAGTAGCGGCAGCAAGCATATACTTCGGCTGGGAAATATTAAATGTACGCAATATGCCAATGAAGCGCTTTTACACGATCAAATTTTGTTTTAACGATTTCCTATCCTGCAGCATGTGATTGAGTGTTTTCAAACACAGCACAATAACGCTGCATAAAATGAAATGCATTTGCCAAAGAAAATTTGATGGTCTACAAGTTGGTGTTTACAAGGTCTAATTTTGTCGGATCCAACTCACTTCTGACCTAGGGAGTAAAGTCGCGGTTACCAACAAAGCAGTATTGCATTGGTTTTAGTTGCTCTTGGCCTATCATACACACATTGCAAGACAACAGACAGTAAAACATCCATCAGAAGTCAATTGGATCCAACAAAATTGGATCATGTGAAAAGACCTTAAAACAAAAGCACTGAAAGGCGAAAGCTCTTGACTCCTTTAAGATAAGGGGAACAATGCTGAAGCAGTTTATAGGGGGGCACTCCAGACATTATAAAGGTGCCTTCATGGCCGGCAGTTTGGGATAAATAAATTTTATAGGAATGCAAAAGATTTGGTAGATGTTGAATTTAGCACATTCATGATATTTCCCAAATTATGAAGTGACTAGCCAGACTAGGTCCTCATTCTTATGCTTCAATGAAAAAATGGCAACAAGTGGAGCTACATGATACCTGGAAATGATGTGGTAATAGACGGTCTGTCAATTAAGCCTTCGTACAAGCAATGTTTTACCAATTGCTGTAAACTGCAAAATAGTTGTACAGCCTCTGTCTTTTCACAACCCAAATTCTCAGTGATTGAACCATAGACTACTGCAGGAGCTACAAGTAATGAAAGAAGTAAAATTCAGGTCTTAATTGGGCCAAGGGTATGCAGAGAAACCCATAGGGAGCCCAAATTTGGCCAGTGATAATTTGAACATGATAAATCTTCACAAATTAACATGACAAATCACCCAACATACAGCACATTGAAAAAAGCCATATTCAGATGTACTCATTTATCTGTACATGAAAGAAGGCCTTTCAATAAATGTAGCCTAACTATGTAGCCTGGCTAAAACTGGCTGGCCCGTCTCCTAGCTATGAACTGGCCCTAAGTTAGATAATTTATGTATATTCAAATACTATCTTCAGCAAGCACCTAACCAGTAAAACTAACAATTGATGCCATAATTATACCTTCTTCATTCCTATATTTGTAGGCATCATTGATTAACTTTCCAACAACATCCTTGGATTTAGCCTGAAGTGTTACATGTTCAAAGTTAAAAACAGCATTCATTCAATTGCTACCCCCAGAGAATAAACGCAATGTATTAATTCTTATCATAAGAATTGACTCTTTTTCAGCCCCATTCAATTATGAAACAAAATTTCAAATTTTAACAGTACTTATACCGATATATGATTTTACTTTACATTGTTTGAATAATCACATTGTATATGAATTGGTACCAGTTCATGTGTTCATGATGATTTTTGTACATTTTATTATAATAACATATATAAACAAGCTGCAAGCATGGCTGACACTCATTAACGAATTAGAGTTTTTATGGAGGTTTTCACCATCCTTAAGGGTCTATACTTTTAGAAAATCAAGAATACCAAAATAATTATATAAAAGAATTACAAAATAGATAGAAATGTTCAAGTAAAACGTAAGAGCATTGGGCACAGACCACTCATTAGTGTATTAAGGGCCATGCAAATGACAAAGATATAACATCCGATCAATGGCTGCATGTCTAAATGTGTTCTAAGAAACCATATGCTGAAGCAGCTGAACTTAATTCTCTACTTAATTTGCTGCTAAGGAGATAAAATGTTAATGGTTGCACATGCCAACATACAAAGTAAGCTCATGCCAAATATCTTTGGTGCAGTATACACAGAATGGGTTTACTTGACTTGACCATTGACTTGACAGATTGAGGTATTGTAATCATACACTTTTAGAAAATTTTCAGAACATGGTATTTAAAATGACAGCCGAATGATTGCAGTCATTGATGAAATTGACTTTTCACTATACAATATAGAATTTGCCTAAAATACCCCCATTCTGCATCAGAGAACGACCATGCAGGCTCCTGTCAGAACATGTTAAACTTGCTTCCTGCCTGAGCCACCTTAATTGTTATAGTCACAGAAAATAGTATAATGATACTTTCATAATTTAGCTTTATTTTTACTAAGGTTTCCTCTTTTTAATAAATAAAATGTGATTTTCATCAACTCACCTTTAAAAGAACATTTAAAGGAGGGAAATTCAGCTGACCCAGAACCACCATCTCTTACCAAGACTTTCTCAATGATTGGTCTTCGTCTGTGTCTTCGGCCTCTTCCGCTTCTGAAAACGACGTTTTTTACGCGTAGTGCGAGTCGGGTGGACTAGCGTTCCCGGGAATATTTTAAAATGGCGGCGGTAAGTGAATTTTAAACCATGTGCTTTTTGTAGTTATTATATAGCTTAGTTTTCACACAATCTGCGTGTTTTTATAGCAGTTTTGTAGTCAAGTGTGTCGAATTGCATTAGGGGTTGTTTTCATTCTTTTAATATTCCAAAAATTGGCAAATATTATATAGCATTCTGCTTGGCAACTGCATGTACTTTGTATAAATTGTTGACATTTGATACGAACAGTTCAAACGAAATGGAAGTAAAACGCGAGATTATGAGTCATATCATGTAATATGTAATAGTCGTATAATGTGAACCATGCTCATAAGGGTATGGTGCTATCTGTCTTTGAAACTATAAAGAATTAAAGATAGATCGTAGATACATGTACATCAATTCTGCCAGTTAATTTTCATCAAGTGTTCTTGTAATTATGCGATATCCTGCTTTCTTGCCCCATATGGATAAGTTGTGTGATATGTGTTATTTAGAAAGACTTTGCAAACATACCATGCTTACATGTACAATACGTATAAATTTCTCAAGCTATATTATTTCAAGTAATTAAATTAGACATGACTTCAATTTTAATGCCAAATTTATAAAATTGTAGTCTTTTTATGAAATCAATCTCTCCATGTGATGGCATAAAATTCTAGTAGTATTGTTTTCATACAGGCAGATTTTCCATGATACTATAAGAATTCCTGACAATAACATCAATTTATCTGGTTGTTTAGGCAGCAGCAGCAAAAGTCCAAGAAGTTAGAGACATCACAAGAATTGAAAGAATTGGTAGGATGATTCTTTAATTCATTCAAATTAAAGTAAATTACCTGATGGTTGAAGGTTTATAGGCAGTTCAATTTAAAAAATTTTTGAAAACCGAACCGAACCTGGAAACTGGAACCAAAGATTACCACCAATATGGATTATTTATTATTTAGGTGCTCATTCACACATCAGAGGTCTGGGATTAGATGATGCTTTGGAGGCAAGACAGGTAATTATGCAATAAAAAGACACTGTATTCATAAATATTGCTGTATGCCATTATAGAAATATGGGAAAGAGTATAGTATATATAACATAGTTGTCTTTTGACTAAGGTTACAGTATGTGCACAAGAGCATCGTTTTCGAGCGTTTTCAAAAACCTTTTACTTGTTTTATTGTTTAGATGCCCTCTCCACACGATCCAACAAAAATATGCTTAATATATTATTGTTAAATTAGCTTAAACTTCTATTGTAAATTGACTGTTTTTGAAACCATTTTGGCACAAAAACGAATGTGAAACATTCAACAAGGTTACCCTGGGCACATAGCCTAAGTTAACAACCAAATTGCCCAATCAAAATTGTATACATTAAAGTAAACTGCAATTTAAATACTTTTAAAAATTGTATATTTGATGGAGCCACCTTAATAGATAGTATTTAGTGAACTTCCATGGATGCATGGCATCCTCTAAGGATAGTTTTGTTGTTCAAAGGTTTCTCAAGGAATGGTTGGTCAAATATCAGCCAGAAGAGCAGCTGGGATTATCCTAGAAATGATTAAGGTTAGTGCTTGAGTGGAGAAAAGCCCCACACAGGCATCGGCATCCTTGTTTAAACTTTAGCGGGCAGTTACATGTGCTATCTGTAGACTATTGAAAAAAATGCTTGAATTAACGAAGTGTTCGAAATACTGAGAAAACGTGAGCAGTTCGTAAGAAATTAATGTTCGTATTTTACAACTTTGGATGTCTCAGGAGTATATAGAATTGCAAGTTGCAAGAAAGGTTCCATAGTGTAACAGCGCATTTACGTTGAATCTAAGTTGCACTGAAAATAGGGGAAATTTTAGAGCGTACCTGAAAAACTACTGTTTAGAGCCCGTTTTAGCATGAAGACGTGAACGTCAAAAACGACGTGAAAATGGCAAAAAAAATGGCGTGCTGCGTCTATGGACATGCCACACCATTTATTCGCAATTTAACGTCGTCTTTGACGTTCACGTCCTCGTGCTAAATCTCCCTACTACTGTAGGTTCTCCGTGGTTCTTCTTTTGATTTGCGTCAACCAACGACTCCAAATTTCTGCTCTCTACTTCATAACAGAACAAATTACTTTACAATCAAAGCAGATATTTAAGATTTTCACTTCTTATAAAAGCAATCTGGTGTTGTTTTAGGAAGGAAAAATTGCAGGAAGAGCAGTTCTCATCGCTGGACAACCAGGCACTGGAAAGACGGCGCTGGCAATGGGTGAGTAGCTACATACTTGTATTTCTAAATTTGAAAATTACCTGTATGCAGTATGTCCCTAAGAATAATGAATTGTTTCTTCACGTTTGGCTCCTCTCCCTAGTCATTCAGTATATCAGAGGGTGAAAATGATTAGAGACAGGGCTGTAAAGGAATTTTAAAATTTTAGTTGCTCTTTTTGTTTCCTACATATGCCCACTTACACGTGCCTAAATCTTTTTGCAGAGCACGCGTATAAGCCACAATAGTGGTGTCTTTGCAGCTTTGGCAATCAACCGTCCCTATACATATTTTCAGCTGCCCTTTTTCTTAACCAAAAGTGCCCCTGGAATCTGGTGCCCCCCAATCTCTGAATGCTTCCTAAGCCCCTGATTAGAGACATAGTTACATCGGTCTTACCAAGTCGGATCTCGTACCGGAGATTAACGCCTGTATTTTTTAGGTATGGCTCAGTCGTTGGGTCCAGACACACCATTCACCAGTATCGCTGGTAGTGAGATCTTTTCTTTGGAGATGAGTAAAACTGAAGCCCTCACTCAAGCTTTTAGACGTTCAATTGGTGTTAGAATCAAGTATGTTGAACGCAGATCTTACCAGAACATGCATTTTGTAAACATGATTTTCTTTTCCTCCGTATCCGCAGAAACAATTATTTGTAGCATTGCCCGGTGGGACGGTGTACATTTTAACTAATCCTTCCCTTCGATCCGAATTACTTTTTGGAATTAGCTACTTTTCCAAATTTTGCAATACAGAAACATGTACATTATTCGACTAATACATAGATATACATGTACCTAAGTGAAGAACATTTTTACTCATTTACATTTCTGCATGACTTGATTGAATCGTGTGTAATGAGCTTGACATGGACGTTCTGTTCTATCTCATGTTGTAGTTTTATTATAGTTTAATTGCGTGTTTATGCATGCAAGACCCCTGTGGGTACATGAAAAATGTTTTTTATTGCATTAATGCAATGATTTTAACACACAACCTCATCATTTCATGTTTTGTTTGACGTACCAGGGAAGAAACAGAAATAATCGAAGGTGAAGTTGTTGAGATACAAATTGACAGACCAGCCACTGGAACGGTAAGGAACACCAGAAAACCTTTTATAATATAGTTCATTTGGTTTATAGTGACCTGCCTGGTATATGAAACCTTTTTTTAAAAATATCTCAATTATAAAAGCATCTTCATACTATAAACCGTTTCACAACCATTGCTCTACATTGCTATTTCATTTCTTGCAGGGTTCAAAACTGGGCAAACTAACTTTAAAAACAACAGAAATGGAGACTATTTATGATCTGGGAACAAAAATGATTGAGTCGATTACGAAGGAGAAAGTACAAGCTGGGTAAGAATTCCATGAAAACATGCGAATGTTTCGCTTGCGGAAATATTTCTCTACAAGTGGAGAGCGTGATGCTATCACTTGGCTCGCAATTTACTAACTAAAATACTCATGTCGCATTTATAGAGACGTCATCACAATTGATAAAGCAACAGGAAAGATTTCAAAACTAGGAAGATCTTTCACAAGAGCGCGAGATTACGATGCCATGGGAGCTGAGGTATTCCTATTATTATAAGTAGCTACTACATTCTTAATATAAGTAATTCAGCTTGTACACGGCGTGAGTATTTAGTACTGCAAAGCTTTCGGTCCGTTAACCCGGGCCTTCATCAGTGCAACTTTATATATTACACTGATGAAGGCCCGGGTTAACGGACCGAAAGCTTTACAGTATTAAACACTTACGTGGTGTACCTACAAGCTGATTTACTTATCTTGTGATATCACCAAGCAATGTTATTACACTATTCTTGACAAGAATAGTGTAATAACATTGCTTGGTGATAATTTCTTGTTATCTAATGCGGTTTATCAGCTTTTGTGAACAAAATAGATTTCCAAGGAATTTCGAGGTAGCCTTGCCCTGCGTTGCCCTAAATTTTACAATAATTATTCAATGCAATTCAAATTCTATTCCCAAAAATTTCGGCTTATGGGTATATGAAAACCCACACCATAAACATAAAATCGGTATATATCGTCCATCTTTCTGTTAAAAATTACGCTGGAGATTTATATTTTCTTTCAATAATATTTCAGACAAAGTTTATTCAGTGTCCTGAAGGTGAACTACAAAAGAGAAAAGAGGTTGTCCACACCGTGACACTTCATGAGATTGATGTCATCAATAGTAGGACCCAGGGATTTCTAGCGCTCTTTTCAGGTATCGTGTAATGAGGAATAAAATAATCCAGAACATTCAAATGCACGGCGTTTGAGATATTCAATGGAGTTGGGACAAACAGCCGTGACTTGAGGATTGTTGTGCAAATTACAGCCCACTATTCTACCAATTTTATAATTAATATTCTAGACAACTAAATGCTCCGCGCATGAGACTATTAATGGCACATCACTGTGTTTGGTAAAAAGCATTTTAGCTGGATAATCGTCACTAACGGGACAGTGGTGTAAATTAAACTCTTCCTCGCAATTATACTGTATTGTTAAAGCGGTCCTAGGGAGCTTTTGTATTTCGGTACAGACAGATTACTGGCATTTTAGAGTTACAATTTTTGTAGCTGTATCAATTTGACAACGGGTTAAAGAAATCACTGATCTGCGGATAGCACAACCATTAATAAGTTTCTTTCCGTGTATTAAGGTGACACTGGTGAGATAAAAGGTGAAGTTCGAGAACAAATCAATGCGAAGGTCGCTGAATGGAGAGAAGAAGGAAAAGCTGAGATAGTTCCTGGGGTAGGTTTCTTTATTTATTGTATCATACTCGGGCCTTTTTTTTGGAAATTGTCAACCAGATTGCCGATCAATTGTCGTGTCCGGACTGCAATCTTGAAACCAGGGTGCTTCACAGGATCAGAAGGTGAAAACCAGGGGCCGGTTGTTCAAAAGCCAGTTAACGCTAACCCAGGGTTAAAAATGCCTAACCCAGGGTTAAATTTTAAACCTTGGTTGATTTGCGTTGCACAAAGCTCGGTTAGCATTAACCTTGGGTTAAAATTGATAAAAAAATTAACCCTGCTAGCGAGGAGGGTTAACTTTTTAATCCTGGGTTAACTTCGATTCAAAATGGATGAATAAGGAGCTGAAACACGTAAACACGTATAATTCGTCATGAATTAAACAATTTTGAGAGGTTTAACGAATAATTTCGACAGCAAAGAATTATTTAAGTTTGACTTCGTTCGATTTCAGCTGATGTATTGATTTATTTATCTTCGCTTCAATGCAATACACGATAAATAAATACAACCGTACAAATTGAAAAATCGTAATCGAAATATTTGTTTTGGATGCCAAAATTCGATTCTTTTGATTAGCAGCAAGTGGTAAGGCTACGCTTGTTCCTGAATTTTGAATAATCAAAGAATGCCTGAAATTTTAAAATAGATTGTTTATAATATGCATTGCTTAATTTTGTTTCACATCGCGAGTCGCGACATTGTTTATCATACAAAATGGCCTTTCATTTCGAATCTTTCCAAAATTCCATGCACGGAAATTGCTGTTCAAAACAACGTCCCTTCGACCCTGCCCTCACGGCATATAATCTTTCGACTAACAATATATCCTCGTCGGGTAAAGTTTTGACGCTCGTTTATTGACCAATCGAAAACGTTCTTATATCCAATTTAGTCCTTAAAATACATTTAATCTTAGGTTAAATATTTTAACCCTGGGTTAACTAACCTTACCGCTAACCCTGCTTTGAACAACACAGTTTTAACCCAGGTTTAGCTAACCTAGGGTTAAGGATTTTAACCCAGGTTTAGCACTAACCCAGGGTTAAATTTAACCTGCTTTTGAACAACCGGCCCCAGGCGTTGTTGCTTGGAGTTTATTGATTGTTTTTACTATATTTCACTAGGTTTTATTCGTTGACGAAGTGCATATGTTGGATATAGAATGTTTTTCATTTCTAAACCGTGCTTTGGAAAGTGATATGTCTCCTATTCTTATAATGGCCACTAACAGAGGAATAACAAAGTAATGATAAACATATATTTCACTATAATTTTATTACACTAACGTCAAGTACCATGATAGTGATTTCATTTCGCTTATCAATTTACACACAGGCCACGCTATACGCGACTAAAAAAGTTGTTCCTGGTTGATAAAGACTAAGGAATAAGTTTTTTTAATTTTGCGTGGCAATAATGGTAGTAATTTAAGACTTAAAATCATTAGTGGTTCCCGGACGGGCTTACGGACCGAAAGCTCTTGCAAAACTATTTATACTACTGTGTACCTTTCACAAATAAAATCATAAGTTAAGACTATAAGCAATGCTGTGCAGCATCTCAAGAGCATGCATGGTTATTATCAATTTGCAGCAAAGTGCATGTTATGCGTAGCAGAACTGGTCGCTGCGACTTAAAAACAACGGTATTCGTGGGTTGCAGTACAACATTGTTCTTCAGTTTTCATCAACCTAAGCATTTTTAGCTGCATGTGTGGTTGGTTTCTGCGCCAGCTACTAGCTATTAACTCTCGCATGAATACCATTCTTATTCCTCTTCAGAATCCGAGGTACAAACTACACCAGTCCTCACGGCATTCCACTTGATCTTCTTGATCGTCTACTTATTATAACAACCACACCTTATGAAGCGAACGAATTGAAACAGATCTTAGCCATAAGGTAACCCAATATCTATATAAATTATAACATTACTCTATTGAACTAATTCACGCGTGTTTTTTAATACGAAAAACACGTAACAACGACAACGTTAGAAACCTTAGAAAGATTTCATTAACGATTTCATAATTTCATTCTGAAGATGTGAAGAAGAGGATGTTGAGATTGGAGAAGAAGCCATGGGAGTCTTAACTAAGATTGGACAGGAAACATCTTTGAGATATGCTATACAACTAATTACCGCTGCTAGTTTGGTCTGTAGAAAAAGAAAGGTAGACCCTTTTATATCATTTTATCACTCCTATCCTTCATTTTGACCAATTGGCTTTTCCCTATCTACACCACTCCCTCTCCACCATGCACCACTTCCACCGCCATTCACAACTTTGCCCTCCACTATGACCACTCAGCATCGCCATTCAAGAGGAGTGTCGTATTACACCTGTATTTTAAAACACACTAGCTTTTAGCACGGAACGGTACAATAACCTAGTACTCGTTCCAGACTTCATTCCAACATAACTGTTTGGTTAGTCAAGTTTCAAATAACCCGTCATTAATCACATCAATATTTGCTGTATTATTCCAGGGTACAGAAGTGGAGATTGACGATATTAAACGTGTGTATTCGTTATTCCTTGATGAATGTCGTTCATCCCAGTTTCTTAAAGAATATCAACAAGAATTCATGTTCAGCGAAGAAACAACGACATCGCAAGAACCAACTCCAGTTGATTCGATGGAAACTGAGACTGCTTCTTAGATATGAACCTAACTTTGTTTCTCAATATAATAACTTTACATAACATTGCGCATTTTTATCATAGCTTTCATTTCATCCCTGTTGTCTCGACTAAAGTCATGGTGCAAATGGTGGATATGTATATCCTAGGCTAGTGGACCCCGAAGGGCGGTATTCTGGGCATGCCGGCAACGGTATAGGTGTTCATTTGAAAATCATAATGACACTGAGTAAATGCCTAACCACTAAGTGGAAACTAGATTTCTCGTACACTCTCTGAACCATCATGGTAAAGTATGGCTGCTGTGTTATAAAACTAAGCGTTCCTTTCTCTCATTATTTCTGCCGTGAATTTAATCATTTTCGTTTGTGTACAAAACGTAACTATAATTCATCAATTAGGTATAAACATTGTTGTATCTCATCTAGTTTATGTCATTAAGACTTTGAAAACATGATAACTAATTAATTGCGTTTTGTGCTGACACATTTTGGTTTGAAGGGCTTTGAAATTTTTAGTCATTTAGACCAATTTAGATCAGCGAAATTGATCAGCGACATTTCAACATAAAATTGATATTTGGTGCGACTGTAAAGGGAGTAAATCTAAAATTAAGCAAGGCATTAAAAAGTATTTCTATCATACATTCCTGCAGGCTTCCGTTCGCAAAGTTACATTTAGAAACATAGATCTTTAAGATAACAAAGCCATTTTATAAATCGACTTTTCTTCCAACTAACAGCGCCTGGGACTAGGCTGTCGCTTTGTTATTGTTCAAGAGACCTGGGCCGAGTTTGTGTTTTCCCGCCAAAATGATTGTTTTTTTTTTATTAAAAATACAAGTTTGTTTGTTTTAAATATTGTTATATTTAAAAGAATTTGAGCTCTGAATAAAGCAAAAGACTTATATTGAATGGAAATATATAAGTGAGAATTGTCAAATAGTAGCTTAAGCGTCGCTGGAAGTGTTTCAGCAGAAACCAAAACATTCTTGACAAAAACGAAAATGGCAGGTCAAAGGCAACCTCGATACAGTAAGTGTAGAAGGCCCCAAATACGGTTGTTACACGCTTTTAAAGAGTTGCTTGGAGGAGTAAAACGCGTACGGCATAAAACGTACTCAAAAACTATTCATAAACGTCGACTAAACCTATTAAATCTGTTGTAATAGATGCAACATGTTATACGTGTACTACTTTACTTAGTTTACTATTGTATTCTTGGTATACAGTATAGACCTACTCTCATCCAAATAATAGCTGTATTAATATGCTTTCAAACTATCCCTTTTAGGCCTTTTCTAACAAATAAAAAAAACTAATTTTACTGATTGTATAAAATTAATTTTATAATAGAGTTTGATTTCAAGACTCCAACAAACGTTGATCCATACACAAGTACAACAAGTTCATTTCTTAGCATGGGAAAATCAAATCTACCTTCATGGAAACAAAAATCATCTAGTTCTGCCTCGCAATTCTTCGGTAAACTAAGGTAAGTATTAAACTGAGGTATATAGCGTCTTTCCTAGAACTAAAATTTGATGTAAATTAACGACTCAACAGACAATATTTCATTTCTGGGTGACGCTGTGGTTCTGAATTCTAAAATGCCAAGTTCTCGGGGCATTTGGAGTGAATTATGTGTAGCCATGTTTTCTTTACATAATGTGGAGGAATAAGAAACATGAGGGTTGTATACCCCTATACGTTTCCTGCATGGAACAGCAAGAATTTGTTCTCTGCTGATTTTAAATCACCCGAATAAAAGCCTATTCCAACCCCCTTTATTTGCGCCTATTTTCCTGGAAAATAAATATAAAGCCGGGATTTTCTAATGAAGGCCAGGGCACTGGCCACAGTCCCTTAAAAAATTCCGGTATTTCATACTGAACTTTCAAAAATTACATATACTGACAATTTTATGGCATTTTTAAAGGAATTACAATGATTTCTGATGGCGAAATATGTGAAATATGCAACTTTTCTGTCAGTTGACTTGGGATTAGACCTGTAACTAAGATCTGGCAATAGCTTATCATCTTGTGATCATCATTTTTTTAGCTCCTCCAGCTCAAGTGTAACACCAGGTACTTCATTACGGGGCTCTACTCCTTACAAAGCCTTCACACGAACACCAATCAATCCTCCTGGATCTCGTAAGAATCCTCATCATTCCAGCAGTGTAACATCAGCAGCCTCGGGACCTTCAGTCCTTGTTGGTAAGGCAACCTTGTAATACATGATTTCTACTGGTAAACTAAACTAGTAAAAGTAATCTCTACTGCGCTATTTGCGGAATATGTTGTCCTGAAATGTAAAAAAATAGCTAAGCCTAAAGGCCCTGTTACACGGTCCAATTCGTTTTCCAACTAGCGATGCAATTCTGCACTTTTGACAGATGTAAATTTGGCAACTACAAAACTTTTATGTTTATTACACTCCACGTACGTTTCAAACACTTACATTTTGAAAACTCTGCACCAATTTACATAGATCTCTTAAAAGTAGGATTGCATTGCAAGTTGCAAAAAAATTGCACCATGTAACAGGGCCATGTCAAGTTGTTGAATTTTTTATGAGCTGTCTTCACGTGAACTACAAAATTTTTATACAAAATTGACAACTATTACGTTGCATTTGATAATATTTTGCAGTTAAACCTTCAAGCTTGTCCACTCAATTTCCAGTTCCTTCGATGAAGTGTCCTTGTTCAAAATTTAGTCAATTCACTTTTACATTAAGAGTTCTTGTAGGCCTTATCCTATATAGAGCTTACAAAAAATCTTATGCTGTTCCCTAATTATGATGCAAACAGTGTATGAAATCGATCATATCGCCTAAATTTTTCACTTACAGCACTTGTTGAAGGTCGGGGATTGGCAAAAGGTGAAATTGGCATGGCAAGCCTCGACTTGAAAAGACCAGAACTTCTTTTATCGCAGGTGTGCTTTGATGAAATGAAAATTATTATGTCGTGTCATGTTTTGTCGCATCGCGTCGTGTCGTGTTACATGTCTCATTCTCTATGTACTAAACTTAAGTTTTCAGACAGCCAAACGTATGTGAAAGTGCTAACAAAACTTCAAGTTTTGCAGCCTCTCGAGGTGAGTATCCCTTATGAATAAAAAAGCGCTCCTATTAGTTCTATGTCATTGTCATCTTCAGTTGATTGTTTGGTTAAAGAAATAAAGAAGAAAAAATTTTTTGTAAGAACGAAGTTTTACTTGTTAAAAATTAATAAATAGAAATGGAATTGATTTTCTCGAAGACTCTGGAGATATTCGGAATTCTCACACAAGAAATAAAAAATGAAACGAAGAAGTTGAAAGAAGTTGAACAGAAATTTTACCCGAAAACGCAAAGCTCAAACTCAATATTATAACGAATAAATCACTAAATCAATGTTCGTCTCTAGAATATACTGTGGAGCGGTTCTCTGTTGTAGGTTATCATACCAAACACGGCTTGTGAAGCTGGTAAGATGACAAAGCTTTGTGAAATCATCACAGATCAGTTTTCCAACGTCAGTCTCTCAACTGTGCAACGAAAATATTTTAACGAATCCCAAGGTGAAGTCATGCAACATATCTTGTTTCAAATATATTATCTATCTGAAAGTTTCGTATGACTTACCACATATCATATTATGGCGTGAGAGAGGAAGGGTCTGCGATAGTTGCTTTAAATAAGGCTAAATAAAAATTGAATATGGTTTGAGTAGCGTCCTGAACCAACAAGTCTGGAAGTAAATATATGTTATTTACCAGATTGGAGGTCCGTATAGGGAAATATTTCCCGACGTCTCAAAAACGGCCCGAGGGAAATATTTCTCTATACGAACCGACTAAACTGGTAAATAATAGAATAAATAATAGATAGATAAAATTCATAAAAATCTCATACGGACCTCTCTACGGCCTCATACGGACCGCTCGCGTATCCAATCAGATTGCAGGAAACGCTAAAATATGAATTCGGACCGCAAGAAAAAAATAATAAATAGTAATTCACACCTTAAATTTTAATGGGGAAACTCAGTCAGTAAGTTAACAGATGTAATATTTTGTCCGATATTGGGGAATTATTGTTGTTAACGGCATCTTTTCACCATAAAACCTTATCAGGATCAGAGGTAATATTTTCTGTTTAAGTAAATGCATACGAGTGATGATGATTTCTAGGTTTACAGTATATAAAGCAACTGTGTGTCCCCGAATTCAATGCCGTAGAAATGGAGGTTTCCTCCAAGTGAGTGTCTTCGATTTATTTTCTCTCTTAATTGCATTATGATGTTAATTTTTAATGTTTTTTTTAATGCTTTTCATAGATACTACTGTCTTGCAACTGCATCAGTAAGTGTGACCAATTATTTTGCACCAGGCGCCGATTCTACGAAGGCTGGATAACGCTATCAACCAGTTTTTTTCAATCATTATAGAAACACTTGAAAAGTGATATTAAAAGGAAAATACAAAACTTACTATACTAGCTTAGGAGTAAACCCTAGAACGAATTGACAAGACCACTATCCAGCTTTCGTACAACCGGCCACCGTACCATACATATTTGGCCTAGCTAAATGAAATAGAGTGCGTAATACTACTTTTAGTGAAAATCGTTAAGATTATCGCGTACAATCGTTTCAGGCACTTCTCAAGTATGTTGAATTCATTCAAAACCTTGTTTACGCACCTGGATCATTGAGGATTGTGTTCAAAGGAAGCGAACAAACGACTATGATTGGTACGAGTTGAAAAATTTTGTATTGCATGCTGTTGGTAGATTTCAAAAATCAGAAACCACTGGAATTAGCCATTTCCCAATCGAGCTGGGTACTGGGTCTAGTCGCGAACTGCAAAGCATCTATGGACTGTTTGGAGGGGACAGGAAATAATCATTTGTAATCATTTGTCCTGCCTCTAAGCAGTCCATAGATATTTTGCGGTTCGCGACTAGACCCAATACCCTGTTCGATTGGGAAGATGGCTAATGCTAAAAGGAGAAAGTGTTCCCTCAATTGTATATTTTTACATCCGACGTCCGTTGTACCAAAGTTTGGATTGTAGTAAGTAGTTTGGACTATAGCAAGTAGTTATAGTAAGTAGCAATTAAAAAACGTATGTTCAAGACCGTATAAATGTCTGTTAGTTTGCCTCAACGAGCAGATGAAGTTGCAGCTCGGTTTTTGATCACAAATGTAAAAGGAACCATTACGAGTTGTTGAGGGATTTTTCTTTGAAAAAATATAGGCTATTATAACAGCGTGAATACAAATATTTTTTGAACACGATTAAGAAAAGTGAATCACTAAACGAAATAATGAGTGACTATATGAAATATTTAAGTGTTCATAAAAGATATTAAAGTAAGCTAAATTATTTTAAATTTTTTTTGTAAATCATTTTAATGTTTTTTTTTGTAAACACATGATTTGTGAACTGTTCCTGTGTCGTTTTAACCGCGTACTTAATAGTGGGTGTCATGGTCGGCCGTTTGCTCGACGATCCCTTATTTTAAGATGAGCCAAGACGGACGGGTCCTTCCTTCCGCGCTGAATTGAGGACTTTAGCCTAATTCAAGAGGTTCTCATGCAAAGACATTGATATTTAAAACATAGACAAAATTGAATTTAAAATGTATTTTTTCCTTTTTTAACATGTAAAAATATAATGTATTGAAATTGTTAAATAATAATGTTCAACTTTAATAACGACTTTTGTAATATTTATAAACTTGTTAAAAAATGTAAATAATATTATTGTTCCCTTTTATCTCTTTCACTGAACTTTGCGTTTCCGACACATCGAAATTGTAATCGTCTCATTGCTAAATATCTCATACACAGCAACTCTTTTGCCGCTTTCTTTTCTTCCTCTCGTTTTAAAATTATTCTTTTTAAATGTACCAAAATATTATCCACCAAAATCTCTTTACTCTCCATCTTTACTTTGCGTACGTACGCATCGTACTTTGTGTACGTACTCGTTCATGGAATTACTTGTGGGAATCATTTGGCATCCAAAGACATTCTAAACATTGCCCTAAAGTTGAAACAGAAGCATATGGCATGTGGTTACAAACACATTAAAAATGATTTACAAACGTTTTGCTTACTTCAATATCTTTTATGAACACTTTCATATTTCATATAGTCACTCTTTTCATCGTGTTCAAAAAATCTTTGCATTCACATTGTTATAATATATTATTTTTAAAAAATCCTAACGATCGCAAAAATATCTTTTTTTAAATTTAACTTTGTTTACATGTTTTTCTACTTGCCAATGTTTGCCCGAAAAATTTTCTGAACCATTCCGAAACAAAACAAATCCCCAACGCGTGGACCCCACGCAAACCATAAAAAATGCTGACGTTGCGAGTTTTTGAGCCTGGGTGGGGAGGTATAACTATTATAGTAAACACTTTGCAGACCGAAACGAGGCTAGTCGCGGACATACAATTACACCATGCAGATGAAAGAGATATGCTTGACTTTCTGATAACCTAGCTCAATTAAGACGGCTCACTACAGTTTCAGGGAATTGCTAAGAACAGGCTTAACATTACGCTTTACGACATAAAGTTTTGACATTTTACTATAGATGCATCAACAGCAAGAAATTTAGAGCTGGTACTGAATGCTCGAAATTTAGGAAGTGATCATTGTCTTTACGGTGTAATGAACCATACAAAGACTGCTGCTGGAGGTACGATATTTAACAGTTATTTTGCTCACTCTCGCCGTACTACAGTGACTGCAAAACTTATTCACGGGATTACGGGATGTCAATATCAATGATGAATACGCTGTTTTACCAATACACATGATTTTGTTCGCGTTAGTGGTTCCTTCAAAAAAATTGTGCTCTGCATGTCAGATAAACTTGCTGCAAAATATACCGGAAACTTGACGCATTGACTGACTATAAATATTGCTTTCACATCGCATAGTATAAATTTTTCCAAATGGCAGCACACAGAGACGTTTCCCGATATCGCCAGGCCGGTCCATCCCAAGTTTTAGCAATGTTTATATACGTGGTAAATCAATCACATCATTGATTTTCAGCTCGTATGTTGAGATCTAATATACTGCAACCACCATCAGGTAGGTGTACGTACCTTCTAACTCGCGTTTATTTTGAATTGATTGCATTTCATGATTGCATTGACCCAGGTCTACTTAATTATTTCCTAAAGCTCCGGGCCTTTCCTTACTGTTCTCTTGTACAAATTCATCCAGCAATATATCATACAGGGATGATTTAGCCGGGGGGGGAGAAATAATAAATAATATGACTGAGGTTAAAATATATCACTTGAGTATAAGTAGTGTTTCGAATATCATTTTAGTACAGGAGTGTTTCGTCCTAATGAAGCCGGGGAGTGGCTTGAAAAATTATTTCTCCATGCATAGCAAGCAGGATACTAGAATGAAAGAATATGGACAAAAGATCGCACATGTATAAAATTATATTTAAAATGTCATTTTGATAGATGTTGGAACAATAAACACGAGACTTGACTGCGTTACTGAACTTCTTGAAAAAGAGGTAAAATACCTTATTTGACTGTGCACATTCACATTATGATAATACTACACTGCGGTTATGCAGTACAGCTCTCCAAAAGCTAATCATTCGATTTTATTCTTTTTGATAATAGGAAGAGTTTTACACGCTGCAATCAGGTATATCTGTGGTTTGTCCATAGACATGTCATGTAAGAATACATAACATCGTAAATCCATGTATGGCTTTTAGGAAAGGGAGGGAGAGAAAAGTTGTTAAGAGGAGTGTAGGAAAAGGGAGGATGACAATTACTTGTGATAGAAATAAAAAATTTCTAGAACTAACGCCTGTATTCTAAAAGCTCACTCACACTTAAACTCATTGAGTGGGAGCTCTTAATCTTCTCATAACGTTTCAATGGCGATATCTCCAGCCAAATAGGGGCTTGATTTTCAGTGTTTAACCTTAAATCTTTCCACCTCTTCAGAAAGAACTTTCTCATTGCCCAGCATTAAATTTATGTCACACTCAATGAGTGTGAGTGTGAATGAGCTTTTTGAATACAGGCCTATGTGTGCTTTAAGTAAATCTGCTCGTATAGGGTATATTTTTTCACCAACTCGATATTTTTGAGGAGCTCACATTCAACGCTGTGTTAACGTAAAGTTTCTATAGTCTTGACTTTGCATCCTTTCGCACTTTGTCTAAAGTACACTATTTCACTTAGTAACTAGAATCTAAATTAAACTAAATTATAGTAACTAGATCTTAAACCATCAATGTAGATTTCTTTAAATCTCGTGTTCCATAAAAAATTGTCGGGATTACCTTCAACAATGCACATCAAATAGCCTACGCATGTTTTTTTGCTTCTCTGCAGTTCTTGCAAGATTTTTAGACGTGGACCACATTACAACAATGTGCATACAAGTTCCAAAGACGGAAACAGTAAAAACTGCTGAATCAAAAATAACCAACGTAATTTACCTCAAACACACTTTGGAACTTGTTGATCCTCTACGAGAAGCGCTCAAGAATTTCGAGAATACACTCTTCACTGCATATTACCAGGTAAACATCACTAATATAATGGTCGTAATATATTGGTGACGCACAACATAAATATATGAATATGAATATATACCCCCTCCCAATTACAGTGTTCCCCAGGATACTCCCTAGTCCCTCCAAAAGTATTATAGCATGATTGCTTTAACATGATCTGGCAAATAAGAGTTCTGCGATGTCAGCAAATAATTGAACTTACGATTTGAGGCATTAAAATATCAGTTCCGCATGTTCCGCAATACTGCCACGCGTGGATCTGAGCACCGCGGTTCACCATGAATATTGCCATACTCTCAAATACAATTTTCCCGATGAATAACTAATTCTGCCCAAACTGCCTGGTTGGCTGTCAATATTTCAACAAAAATATAAGTACAGAGGCCAGTTGTATAAAAGATATAGTTGCCTTTTAACTGTAGTTAAGGATTGAATTGGCGAATCAGAATTGTGTATTTCTGAGTTAATTAGGATTTAACTATGCAAAATGTAGTTAAAGGGTTTTATACAACCGGCCTCAGGATGTCCCAAAAAACGCAATTAGCCTTTCAAGCCTAATTCCTAAAATTTTTATAAAAACGTGATGAAATTAATGGATAATTATACCTTATTTTAAAGCCTGCTCATCTTTCATCGGTATAATTGCTAAATGCACCGTAAAAGAATATTTTATAATTTTTATGTCCCATGAGTATTCAAAAACCTACTACAAATTCATGTTTGTCCTTAATACCACCAAACTGTTTGGATAAACTTCAATCATATACAGTATATAACATCATGCATGCAGTCATGCTGCTGTTAACTGTTCCTTGTTGAGAGCTACTTCAAAACCCAAAGTTTGAACTGCAAATATTGCGAGTTTTTTGGGACACCCTTTACCTCTCGTTGTTTTACTTCCTTTATAGACTTTGAGTGAGCCTAGATTTAAGAAAATTATGGCAGAAATACAGAAAGTGATTCATGATGATACGCGCTATCAAAAGGGAACTATGAATATGAGGACACAGAAATGCTTTGCAATTAAAGTGAGTGAATAAAACACATGACCTAACTCGACAGTGAAGCTAGGAAAAAATTCCTATAATCGTATACAAAAGGGGGAATTATTGTTGCTATTAAGTTGTTTATTTAGGCAATTCAATTCCTTCGTTATAATTGTCCCGACTACTTCACCTGACTACGTAAGAAAACAATATTATACTCTTGTGTGTACGTGTTTCATAAACCGATTTATCTACAGATAATTCTATTTCATCATCTTCGTACCATGTTGCACTAGGCACAATTTGCCAATATTTTTATATTGAATTCCTTTCTAATAAATTGTATTGACTATAGCCCCGTTTACACTGCACTTAATTTATTTGCACAGCACGGTTAAATTGGTACCAGTGCCCAATTTCATTAGTGCTCTGGCCGGGCGCGGATGCTAATGATACTAAGAGTATCTACCATCATTTTATTTTTCAGCCACACATTAACGGTATGTGTTCCAGTCAACAATGTTTTTTCAAACTACAGCAGCGTTTCTGCCGTTCGTGCCAGCCACTTCGAGTTTAGTATTGCTGTTTGGATAGTGTCAGAGCCAGAGAATTAAGAAAACAAAAGTCTATGAAACCAGAATGACGTGAAAGTTCCATCATACAAGAATTACATCTTCAATAGTTTATCTTTAGCGACAGCGATTACGCTGTTATATGATTTATATCATCTCATCTTTTTATCTGGGAGAAACGTGTGTGTAGTTTTTTTTATCTCCTTGTATCTCCGATTACTACAAAATTGAAGCCTCCCTAAGGCATTTAACTCATGCATGGGATTTAAAAACATTTCTGCAGTTCCTAGCAATACCAGTTTAAAGTATTCGTAATGTTTAGGTTTACTGGATGTTGCAAGAAGAACATACACAGAGATTGTTGACGATTCTTTAGGTAAGTTTTTTCGGTAATTTAAAAAAATCTATGTAAGTACTAAGAACAGATTACTTTGTAATGGTTATCCACTGTTTATTTAGCCAATATTCTGACAAAGCATCATGGTTTTACTTTAATGCCTAATTCATGACATGAAACGTCATAATAGTAGGATATATTATTTGCCATCCTCCAAAAGTACATTTCTCACCAAACATCTTGTTACCTTATGTATAGCTCTTGTGAAGCAGCTTGGTGAACGACATGATTTACCTATAAAATCTGCTTACAATACCACCAGAGGTTTTCACGCACAAATGAACCTTAACAATAATATATCAATTGAAGAATTACCCAGCCAGTTTATTAAAGTTGTCAAAACGAAAAATGTGGTGGCATTTACCACAGCTGATTTGGTAGGTCTGTTAGCAAGCGCTTTACGGCTTCGTTTCACAACACCGGACATATTATTATGCAGCCTCGTCTCCAGCGCGTGTTTTTGCTTTGATATAATTGCGTAATTCGTGTCTCGCGCGGAAGAACACGCGCGAAGCGACGGAACTAAGAATCACGCAATCGCAATTTAAATAAAACATAACACGCGGCGGATCTGGATGGATCAACCTGAAAATACCACATTAATTGATTCACAACAACATTAATTGATTTATGGCTGTTTTCTACTGTCACGTTTTTTTTACGTACGTATACGCACGTTAAAGTTTAAAATAATCTAAACGTAGATACTGAAAACTACGTTACGTTTGTCAACCATGGTCGCACCCGGTTAAGCCGTAAATCCCCATACATACTCCAATCTCAATCGTGCAAAACCAGTACTTTTCAATCATCCTTTTATAACCGTATTATCAAAACCTGGAACTGCCTTTGTAAGGACATTAACTTTGATCTCATCACAGATCCTAACTCTTTTAAAACTTTTCTGAAAAGAAAGTACTCTTTATTAATGGACACATATGATGTCGATAGTCCCTGTTCGTGGTCTCTTGTTCGTAGTTGCTCGTGTCATAAATCCTAAATAGTGACTTACTGTATCATTTCTATTATGTTTGTGATATTGTTTTTAATGTTTAATTCTTGGCGGGTATCTTGCATGGTTCTTGCACTAGTTCCGTTTATACTTTGCCATTTAGGATCATTATCTGTTTAGTATTAATTTTGTATTCTACCGTATGTATTAATGAGTGATCCTAATAAAGTCGACAATAATAATAATAATAATAAATGATACTCTAAATGATGAAATCAACGATTGAATAGATGCATAGGATTCTGTTGATGATTTGGTGTTGCTTTTTTCTGGCATAGAATTAATTATGCAACAACTTAGAAGGTTTTAAACTTTTACGTGCGTGTACGTACGTGAAAAAAACGCGGCAGTGGAAAACAGCCTTTAAACACAAAGTAATGATCTTTTCCGATCCGGCTGACCGAGCAATTGCCTTTACTGAAAACAACCTTAGTATTGAGGATAAAAAACTGTCGAGTTACGAAGCTTATCACATAACATGTAACGGTTTAAATTTGTTCAGTCGTCCTAAATCTTACTGTATTTTTCCTGCAGTTCAGTAAAATGAGTTATTGATTTTTAGATCAAACTAAATGGTTAGTGACCTTCATGGATTTAAGATAAGTAGCTATTAAATGATTTATTGAATACTAAAAACTATCGGTCCTAACTGTCAGTTATTGTTACTTAAAGCAAATATCACTGAAAATTTGTTGAACGATTTGCAGATCGCATACGGGAATCAATGAATGAAATCTATCTGATGACGAACATGTATGTACATTTTTTCATCCAATTTTATATTTGAACGTCTTTAACTCGATCTCTAATTGTGTACTACATTATAATTGTATAAAGCTTCCTAAATATTGAAGATTCCATAATATTCTAATTAGAGGCAAGGGCGTGGTGGGGGAGAGCAGGACCGAAACTAGACGCACTAACTTGCTTACTTGCCGTCAAAACAATAGTTTTTTAAACGAAATTAGTTGGACACAGAACAAGACACCTCGTTGCCGTTCGAAACCCCAACGGGCTTGCAGCCTGATTAAACCTCCTTCCCAAGTTTTAATCTCGACCTCTAACAGCGCAATATCCTCTGTTCTGATCGCATTTTCCCGTTATTTTTGCTGGTCCGACGCTTTTGACATGATAAAGCGGCGAAACAGTTTGATTTTGATGCATATTTCACGATAATTCTTTCGTGTTTACCCATGGCCAGAAGAGATAAACTAATTGGACGAAACTTGTACTGTATGTGTATAAATTTATTATACGGTTCAGGGGCCGCTTGTACGAAACCCGTTGTGTCCAATTGATGCATGTATAACGAACTAACGAACTTTCGTTCACTATAGTGTTGTATCGGAACTGTTGGCAGGAATACGTGATCAAATAGGCTGCCTTTACAAATTAAGTGATTGTGTGGCCACGTTGGATCTCCTAGTTTCGTTCGCTCATTCATGTACTCTGGCTGAATACGGTGAGGATATACGAATTATTATTAGAAATTTAATCAAACAAACGTTATTCTTTCAATTCTTTCAGGTTTCTTAGAAGCATCAATCTATCAAAAATACCTTGATCACAGCCACTATTTAAACGAAAACGGTCTCGTTTTCATTAGGACAATGCTTTTTGCCCCAACGACAAGCCAAAAAATAGTTGAATACTCTGACTTCTAGTCGTATGCTTGTATATAATAGTTATATAATTCTTCTCTAATGCATATCTTACAATATGTCATTGTCAAAGCAAGTCGAGCCGAATGAAAAATGGGCTTTAGTTGTTTTTTTTTCTAAACTAGGGTAGCCTAAAGTGCTCTAATTTATATGAGAAGTGATATTGATTACGTGTGAGGAAATTTTAATGCACTTTTTCTTCCTTCAGTTCGGCCAGAGTTCACTGATACATTGGCTATTCAACAAGGAAGACATCCAATCTTAGATAAAATTTTATCAGAACCACCTGTTCCTAACAATACGGTAAGAACTTTTACCATCTCCTGGCAGAGCAATAATAAGACTCTCTATCAACTAAATTGAAAACCCCCGTCTTTCCATCTCAAAAGGTAACAAACCTGCAGAAACTTAAACACTTCATGTTATTTAAATTAAATAGTACGCAGCTGATGGAAGCAATTTTGTGATCATCACAGGACCAAATATGGTAAATATAACGAAATGAACTAAATTGATTTTTCATCTACCCAAATCCTACATACATTACACCCAACACAGAGTCTTACAACACAGTGCACTAAACCACCCCAAACCATACAAAGTATAAGCAAGGGCCGAGGAGCCATCTAGAACGGGGGTAGGAGGGAGGAAGGTACTAATAAACAGGGCACTGTCTCGTATAGTAATACTACCATACACACGTGAAGACAGTGACAGGAAAGTAGTTTTATTTAGGTACTTATTTTATTACTTGCAAATCTTTGATGATATTATGTACTCCTCTTTCGTATTTTTTCGGTTTAAAATGATTATTAGGCACAATGAATTACTTTTTCTAAGAAGGGAACATGTAATGATTCAATGAAGGGCATCTCAGCTGAATATAGTGGCATATCCTGATCTGTTTTAGAAAAGTAGGGGAGGGGGCACCCGGCCCCAGTGCTTCCTCATTCCGTGGAGAAAACGTTTTGATCTTTTTATAGAGTGGAAAATCTACATATCTGAAGCAGATAGCTTTACTTCAAATCATGGCTCAGATTGGATCATTTGTTCCAGCAGAATATGCATCCTTTAGAATAGCGCGACAACTCTTCACTAGAATTGGTAGTGACGATGATATTGAAACCAATTCATCTACTTTCATGTTAGAGGTCTGTTCATAGCTTTATATATTTTACAAAATTTTTCACTCGATAAGTTCGTGCTGCTAAACATTATAAACTGCCTTTTAAACTTTCTTCCTACAATTATACAACTTTTTAAACTTCATTGCTACAATTTTACTACTTTTTAAACTTTACTGCTACATTCGTAGCACTACTATATCTGTACCACTATATCAGTTTCGTTCGGTTTACATTTTAGATGAAGGAAATAAACTACATCCTACAGGTATAAAAATAATTCAAAACAGTTAGTAAGCTGTACCAGTCTAATACCATTTACTTGCTGTTGTCAATTCAGGTCAACTTGACTGGCACCTCTAGTCACACCTGTTTAGTGGTAGTCAATAGTGGCGCCTGTTTCAACAAAGTATTTGGAAGAGGACGTTTGTCACGCATGTGCATGTTTCGTATTCTATTTATATTAAAAAATTCCATGAGGACTTTGCGGAATATTTTCTTACAGAATGTCACCAACGATTCTCTGATTATCATCGATGAACTAGGAAGAGGTATGGAATTTGAAGCACTCCACGAATACATACAAAACATAAGGGGTGTTCCTTTTTCCAAGATTCATGCATCACCAAGAAAGGAAATAACCTTCACCATCATTTCTGAGCCTCAAAATCTGAAATATCATCAATTAGCAATTCCCTAACTACGAACTAAGCATATATTCAATAAAACACATCTCAGCGCTTATTTTTTTCATCAGGCATTGTAGTCGGCCTTTTACATATTTTCATTTGAACTGAGTCTGTCCGTCTGAACGACTCAATATTAACAAGCTCTTCCCTTCTGGATTTAAAGTTTTCTTTGGAACTGATCTGCTGTAAAATTCAGATTGTCTTAGTAAAACTGATTATATTTGTCAATTGTTATAGGAACCAGCAGCGAAGAGGGACTTGCTATTTGCTACTCAATATGCGAGCACTTGCTTGCGAATAAGGTAGAAACGTTGTACTGAATTAAGGCAGCATGGCAACAAAATGGTAGTTTTCTGATTTTGGTAACCAGTTTTCTGAGCTAAACCAGAGTAAGGAAATCCAAAACTATAAGCGAAAAGACTATTTTAAATTATACGCATTTTGATTTTAAAAGGATGGATATCTTTCCTTGGGGCATTGACATGAAGAGATTATTTTTAATCATATTCCTTGTTCGGGGATTAGAATGGTTAACGATGGTTAACTAGGATTTACCTATTCATAATGTAGTTAGCATAATTATTTCCTAGGGTTCTTCCAGATTTACATATTGTGAAATTTCGTAGCGTTGCTTAATCCAAAGAAAAACAATTTTCAAGATGTTACAGTTTTTCATAGAGCTATTTTCTAGATGCTTTATTTTCTAGGCATTCACTTTCTTTGCAACGCATTTTCTGCAGCTGACTACAATGGATGGCTTGTACCCGAATATTGAAAAGTAAAAATATAATTTTAAAGTCTGGGTGATTTACTTGACTAAAGTAGTACATTCTTTATTGCAATTCCCAAATAATTTGACGCAACACTTTCTTTCAGCTATCACATGGAAATTCAGGTAAAGTGTTATAATATGTTTTGGTGAATTATATATGTGCAGACATTGATGCATACTATAGTGACTTAGTACTTTATGTAGTATAGGTTATTTAGATACTTTACCAATTTGGACATTATGACCATATATAGAGCGACACGAGGACAACAAGCGGGGTCTATTAAGATGGCTGTATATCTAGACTCGTTGTTGCAAGGAACTGTAGTTTGTACATTAAAATATCTCATGAATAAAATATGAGAACATTACACATACCATAGGTTAACTTTCGTTCTGGGGCTACAAAACATGTTTCGTGAGGGCTGAATTTAAAAAAATTAAGGTATGGTAATATACGCTAATGGAATCACGGTACGGATATCAAGAATTGCTTTGATCAAACATAAAATTTTACATTAGAGTAACCGACAAGAAATAAAGTTTTTGCCAAAACCGTGAAACGCGTGGGTCAAAAATAGAAATATGAAATAAAAGAATAAACAATAATTGAGGACAAACTCTTACGCCTGTATTCAAAAAGCTCTCTCACACTATTTGAGTGTGAAATAGAAATGTTGTTATTACTGATCAATGAGAACGTTCTTTTTTTGTTAATGAAAAGATTTAAGGTAAATCAACCCATTTTTGACTGAAAATACAGCCATGGAAAAGTTATAAGAAGATTGAGATATCCCACTCAATGAATTTGAGTGTGAGTGAGCTTTTAATTAGAATACGGGCTTTTGAGGTACATAAAGTAGGAAGGTAATAAATCCTTGCATTTCGTATCACCAATATTTTTTATATTAGAACTATCTATTTTTTTCCTTCTTAGAGAGTTTTCAACGAGGATGCACAGGGTGAAAAGATATCGTATACTCACACGCTGAGCAAAGGAAGTACAAGTGAAAAACATTATGGTATATACACTGGCCTTTATGTTGAATCACATCACTGGTCAAAATAGGAATCATTAATGTAGAAATTAGTGACAAAATGCATGGCTGTCACTTCGAGTTTTACCATAAAATACATTGAAGGAAAATAAGTATCGTGAAATCGTCGAGACTGTGGACTTTGGGCGCTGTTTTTTGACCTCTTGATTATTGGGGAAGGCTCGGGACAACGGCAAAGGACTTTTTACTCTTTGTATTTTATGGGTAAAAGTTGAAAACAATTATGTAAACCTCCCATCTCACATCGCAAATTCCTGGCGATGACTTTGTTTTTTGAATATACGGTGACGAGATTTACTAAATTAAGTTAAAACCAAAGCTTTGTGACTCCTAACTTACATAATGCCTTGCATAACATTAAGCTGAGCGTAATAGCTTGTCGAATATTCCTCCAGGATTAGAACTAGCCAAACTCTCCGCACTGCCTGGCGATTTGTTGCACGAAGCTGAAGAATTATCAAAAACTCTTACAGAACAAAAGAAGGTGAGAATCCTGTCAAAACAAAGGTTAATGATCAAGTTTTTAGGGCAAGGTTTCCAATTTTTGAGAAAATTAATAATTGTAATAATTTGTACACTGTAAAAATTTTAATACGCGATTCAACCGGCCAAGAAAATAAATTTTGTAAATGTTATTTATAGTAAAAACACAGTTTTATGCTATTCTTATCCTTTGTTCTCGTAAGCAACCACATAATTGTATTTTTCATTATCATATACTTTAGTCTCAGTCAGATTCTTCAATCGAAGCGAGGAAAGAAAGGGCAATCTTTCGTCTAGGAAACAAACTTACTCAAGCTGCAAAGAACTCGCGTCTTGATGAAAATGGACTACGAGCTTATTTGCAAGGTCTCAGCTCACAATATTACAGGGATATTGAAGACACGGAAGAGTAATTTTCTGTCTGAGGTGGTCGATGCTGGAAACAATATGATCAACATCTTCTACGCAACATGAACATATGAACTAACCAAATGTTTTAATTTATTTTGGTTCTGTAAAAATTATGGAACAATTGATTGTAAACAGCATAACGTATTCATTGTATTTCTGCAGTATGTTAATAATATGTTCCATATAATCACTTTGTTGATTATTCTTCGTGGTTTAAAAGTAATCATTTCAAAACAATTTTTGCATGAGGGCCAAACACGTTGTAATTATTTAAATTTTCCCTTACATATCTTAATTTATTGTAGCTTGATACAGGGACGCCAGAACCAGGGGGAACTGGGGCAGCAGCTCCATTAGGCCTGGTTTATACGTCGCATTTTGGTAGTCGAATGCATATCAAACAAGGTACCACCGCATTAACTATTGTTTGAATTGTATTCGGTTTGCACTAAAGTGCGACGTGTTTTATGTAGAAAGAGGTAAATTCATGTTTCCACAGACCACCCCACGGAGAGGAAGCTCAGTTAATACACACAGATTTCTCACAGATCCGCAAGAGAACGTATTTTCAGTTACAACTATATATTTATAACGATAACATGCCCCTCCCTTGTCCCTCTGAGCAGATTCACCTTTCCAGAAAAAAATATAGCATCGTATATAGCGCCTATGAACACCTACGACATTGTCTTTGGTAATGGCCGCTGATCTGGTCACACTGTGTACTGTGTGGGCGGGAAGAGGATGACTAAAATGGCGAAGTAAACAGAGTTGTTCACGAATTTAAATCTGTAGTTTAATCTGTGTCCATCCTTAGTTCAATCTGGCCATCGGGCGTTATTTTGGCGACAAGAATGAACTAAGCATACGCAGGAATAAATACTACCTTCAATCCAAAGCTCAATCAAAGGCGAGCCAGAAAATAACGTTCTTGGGAAATTTGATTCGTGTGATTGTGATCAAGTGAACCTGAGGTACGCCGGATGGTTTAAAAGCTTTGAGCTATTTGCTGGAACTTCTCCTTGACCTTGTAGAAGGATCTGACGAGAATATAAGGTACGGCAAGCTAAGCACCATAGACATAGTAAAGGTTAGGTATAAGGACATATTTCTACGGACTAAACACTGTCCAGCCTCCAGGCACTGGAATACAACGACAGGAACGGCAGCGATGCATGCCTTAACACCCTTTCTTCTTCTATTTTAATTCAACCTATTTCCTCTCGGACGTTTGAGAAGCTGAATCACCCCTTACGAAAAAAACACATGCGAAAACCACATGTGGAATCACATGTGACTCACATGTGAAATTGGAACCATTATATCACATGTGGTTCACATGTGGTGGTATCACATGTGGTTCACATGTGAGTCACATGTGGTTCAGTACATGTGGATCTGGAACAACCACATGTGGTTCACATGTTAGTCTGTTTTGACGTTCACATGTGGTTCACATGTGATCCACACAAACTACTGCATGACACCTTTAATTATCATTAAATCACTTAGACACAGTATTACAAGGTGAAGTAAATTAATGCACATATATTAAAAACCATATTACAAAATGAAGTGAAACATTTGACTATGTTAAAGAATAAAAGATACATCTGTAAATATAAAATAAAATGAATTATAATACTATAATTTATTTAGTCATCTTACTGTCCTTAATTGTTGCTAAGATCTTCCTGATTCTTTCTTCGGTTTTCCATTGACAGCCTAAATTCTTTGCACTCTTGTGTCATAACAGCTTTTAAAATTGTATAATTTGCTTGAGGAAATTTCATGATGACAAAAGCTGGAAAAAATATAAACAGGATTGTTAATTAATAGCAATTGCAGTTCATCGCAATAAATAATTTAAAGTCAAATATAATTTCAATGCCTACAAAATAAAACATTAAATGGAAAGTGAGAATGTTATCTACTGTACACAAAAACATTAACAAAATAACAATCCATTCTTCTGAGAAACTGCTGTTGTTCATGGTCAACAGTGAAATAAGGTTGTGCAGACCTAGGGAATGGCTAAGGGAAGGAATGGCTGAGGCAAGGAAGGGGCTTGAATCTTAGGAAAAGATGGTGGAACTTTGATGGTGTACATTTTTCTTGGTTGCAGCAAGTGCTGCTGCTAAAACTGCCTCTCTAAAGTCTTAAATCCATCTGGCCATGTTGCTCAGTTGGTAGTACCAATCTGATACTGTGAGGCTTTTAGACCCAGCCAAAATACAAAATATTTGAAATATCATATGTAAAAATACATTAATTTCTTCTAAATTAGGTGTTTAGAAAAACAAAATACTGCTATACTGTATACAGAATATTGCTACTGTTTATAAGAATCCAAAGGTTATTGAATTAAGTTAAGGTGCAAGGGGTATTCCCTAATTTAGACCATATTATATACCGGTATATATCAAATGGTAATATGTTTCAAACCTTTATATTCTTCTTTGGTTTCTTATTGTCAGCACTGGTCACATCTAATCGCCTCTTCTTGGCTTTTATATTATCATCACTGTTATTATCACTGTTATCCTCCAACTGCTCAATTCAAGCTAAGTTTTCATTAGTAACTCATTCTTGCTATCTGTGAAAAAACACAAATACTCGCTTTAGAAAATTTATATATACACAAATATTTTATTGCTATACACAACTAAGTATGAGCGAGCGAGATGTGCACATGTTTGGAAGACAACATTCCACATGACTATATATCCCAGTCTCAGTTGGAAGGACATGTTGATCTAGAAAAAACTATAAACAATATATTTCTAGCGCATATAATGTCACTATGTTCTGCTTCTTTCTTTGCTAAAACATTATTACACCGCTATTGAGGATATTTCCCGGCTATCACTAGTGTGTATGAGCGAAGTATTTATACGAAGATGAATGATGATTGATAAAGTTGAATAAACAATCTTCTGATTACAATAATACAATTCGATGCGGACCGAGCTTAAATTATTATTTATATTATTATTTAAGTGTCACTGAGATGCTTACCACTTTCTGCCAAAACGTTTCAAAATACGATTTCCATGCCGTCTTTGGGGAATTCATCTTTGAGTATCCAAACAAAACCATGCGATCCTTCTCGGGATGTTTTAGCATGCACACTTTTGTCTTTAAATAATATATTCTTTCTTTAAGATGCCTGTCTTATTTGACTCAATCCAGTGAACCAGCACCTATTTCATTTCCAATCGTATTAGGAGAGTGACAAAGATTATCCTTTTATGTCTTTTATCAAATAAAATTGCAATCTCCTCGTAGAACAGCCAAGAATGTCGTTGTAAAAAATTTGAATTTTGAAACGAATGCGCAACCTCGTTCCCAGGGTTTTCGCCTAATGTGGCGTCATACTTGCGGTCGTTGGGTTATTACACCGGTCGGAGATTGGCCTCAGATTTATAAATATTAGGACGAATGTATTATTACAACGAGGCTGAGTTTACTATTCGCTCATAGCCAACGAGGCTGAGTTATCTTATTGTTTTATTGTAAACTATAGCATTTAATAAGCAGCAGAATTTTTATATAATGTAAATAACCCGGCATATATAGACAATCCAATGAATATCCACAAGACATCTTCAGGATTGTCTTAATCAGCAGTGTTTTGATGTAAATAACTTTATATGTAGATTACCAAATATGTTAGATAGAGATAAATTGTAAATAAGAAGACAACTTAAATATACAGTGTTTAAATAAAGAACAGGGTAACGTAGGCAGTAGAGAGTAGCCTTGTTGCTATGATCTGCTGAGATTAAACCCTTTTTCTGCGATTTGTTTTTTTTTCAGTAACTATTATTTAGACGATTATGCACGTGTATTTGGGGAATAGGTATGTGGTATATGTATCCATTCACATTACAGAAGTTTGCTGATTCATTATAAGTTTGAAATACATTTTCATGTCAACCACATTTCGTTCACATAGGTTTATACATTTTCACATGTAAGCCTTGTGTGATCGCATATAAACCACATGTGATCACATATGAACCACTTGTTTGTAGAGACATTTCTCATGTGAACCACATGTGTATCTCACATAACCACATCTGCATCACATGTGGTTCACATGTGCCCTCCATAGAACCACATGTTTTCACATGTGAACCTCATGTGTATCCAATATAACCACATGTGCATCACATGTGGTTCACATGTACCCTCCATATAACCACATGTGAACTACATATAATCACATGTGATCACATGTGATCACATGTGAAGCACATGTGATCACATGTGAAACACATGTGATCACATGTGAAGCACATGTGGTTCACATGTACCCTCCATAAAACCACATGTGAACCACATATAATCACATGTGATCACATGTGAAGCACATGTGATCACATGTGAAACACATGTGATCACATGTGAAGCACATGTGAAACACATGTGGTTTGCATGTGTTTTTTTCGTAAGGGACGTAATATTGAACTTAGTTACGCAATATAATGTTGCTTGTTTTTCTTCTCGTTCATAGTAATTTATGCGTAAGTAATAGTAAGTAATTTATAGTTAATATATTAATCAAAATACTTCAGTTGAATTCCCTTCAGCATGGCGTGTCTAACTGAACGACGTTTTCTTGGAATATGGAGTTACGTTTTGATAAAATTTATAACAATAGAAACTCCGGAAAATAAGAAATGTTACGTTTTCACTTTGAACTATTGTTACTATCAGATAAACTATGTCTATGATAAAATAGTAGCTACATGTGCAAGTATATATAATTATAAGAGTAGGCTCATTTTGGTTTCATTCTATTGCGATGCACTCTTGGAAAAGCATAGCAGTGATACGATTTGTCTGTTATTTCAGTATTGATTTGTCTAGAGTACTAGAACTCGTAACAGATAGTCAGATACTATAATAAAATTGATATAGTCATCTCCCCATCCAGGCTGCATAAACTTGCCCTCCTCCGTCTTCTTAATCCGATGATTTTTAAGTCGTTTCAAAA